AATTCCATTGATGTAGGAATGTTCTCTTTTTCCTACTTCTTAATATCACACCCATATCATTGCTAATTTAACCTTCAATCATAACACCTACAAGACACTTTCTGTCTTCACTTTGCTATAAACTGATAACAAAAGAAGTGTCACACAGGTAGTGTGTTAATGATGAGAAAATTCTCAATAGGCAGACACTGAGATGAGAGCTACTAATTCTCAGCCTATACATTAAATCTAAAGATAAAATATCAAACGTTTAGGATGCATCCTTTGCACACACCTCATCTTGTATAACAACTACAGTCAGTTTAGCTGCTGATGTGATAATATGTATAGTACATTTTCCTCAGATGGCTGGTGATGCAGAACAAATTCTAAGTACCTCAATCTTTACTTGGTGGTTTCATTCTATGAGCCATCTACTTACTCACCATCATAAGGTCATATGCTTTACATTATTTCCCTAAAATGGTAATGAAATATACTGAGCCATCTAAATTTTCTCAGTTATATTAGGAGGAGATAAAATGGCATTTAAATAGTCTCTGGTGCCAGAGAAACCATGCCACAGCAACTTATTGTGGGCCCTAAAGTAAGTTATTCAAATATTTTGTATTTGAATGTAGCCCAAGCTAGGCTCAAATCCACAATCCTCCTGGGACTACCATCATGTGTAACTACACCCTGACTATTTAAACATGACTATCCACAAAATGGGCACAATAGACAGTTGTCTAATATGGACCCTAAGATTTTTTTCCCCAATGTCTTGATGTATTTGCTTGCTAATTCTTAAGGCACATGATTATAATGACTTTAACTTTCATGATTCTAACAGAGTTGATCATTTTACAAAAAAATTATTTATATTTTGTTGTATGTGTATGAGTGTTTGTTTGCATGTATGTATGTATACCACATGTGCGCCTGGTATCCATGGAGGTCAGAAAAGGGTGCATGATCCCACAGATCTGTAATTCCAGACCCCTTTGCGCTGCTGTGTGGGTGCTGAAAATGGAACCTGGCTTCTCTGCAGGAACAGCAAGTGCTCTTAACTGCTCAATCATTTCTCCATCCCCAACATGGCTAATCTTGATATAGAGAAATTATCTAGGGGGAGCCTAGCCTAGGCTCAATAACCCTGTACAAGCAGAATATTGTTATGACTACAAAATTGATTGGGAGCACAAGTTTTCATTGAACCATTGCTTGTGTTCTGTAGCACCCCACACACACCCTCTGCCCCTACCCCCGAGATTGAAACATTCCACCCTGCAAAGAAGCTCCTTAAAATTAGCTCCAGGAGTCTCTGAAACTGACCAGATTCACTAGGCCCTTCTTTCCAAGAGTAAACAAGCCAAGCTGCTGAGTGCCTATCAGACAGGCCAATGTGCAAAAAAGACTCTTGGATAAGCCAGGCTGCAGCAAAGACCCTGAGACAAGAGCAACTGCCCGGAAGAAGCAGAAACCTCCCAAGCTGCCTAGAAGCAGTTCAGACCAAGGGACTGTCCTTCGCAAGTGACTCAGATATTTGCATTGCATCTCCCCAGGAAAAGTCTTGTCACACCAGAGCTGAGTGGGAGATGTAGTTACCCCATGCATCGACCAGAGAGCAGCTTTTGCATCCAAGAGGTAAAGCTAACAGCCCCAGGAAAATAGGCAAGGAAATAAACACAGTCTGTGAACACAAAGAACCATTTTTTTTTTTGGCCCAAAATAAAGTGAGATTGAGAGCTGGTTGTGTCCCATAGACAAACCACATAAAGCCCAACACATTGATTCCATCTTTGTGAAAAATTAAATGGAGAAGCCAGCTGTATCCACTCAGACTTCTGACCCACAGAACTGTCATCTAACAAATTAACATTGGTATAAACTATCGTTCTGTGCAGCAATAGAACTTATAGGGGCTCTGTGACCACCATAGCCAGCAGAGTAATGATCCATAGGAGGCAAGAAAAGTCAACAGGAATCGGTAGCTGGTGTCGGTTCAAACTTAGTCTGACACTGGGCAGTTTATTTCAGGCATATTTGAGCACAGCACAATTTGGAAAAAAAAAAGTTTCCTGGTGATAAATAAGTCAGTATTGTGTGTTCAAAAAAAGCTTATGACATGACTGCATTGACACTCTCTATAAAGTACATGTGACATCCTCCACAAAATGGGTTCTATAGATTAACTGAGAAAAACAAACTCATGATAAGGGTCCCGGGGGAGGATCTGGTGCTGGGTGTTTGTTGCCTCAACCACACAGATAGTGCAAAGGTCACCAGGCTGCTAACCATGTCTGCTCCCAGCCTCGTGGGCAGGAAACAGGTTATACACCTCTTCCCATGAAGAGACAACACTGTAATCTTCCTGGTTCCCCTAGTGCTTATTTGTAAGCACATGGACTTCTGTGCCTCCCACAAAAACTGATACTGTAGGGGATGGAACAAATACCTACTGAAAATTTTCTGCACCCTGATAAGCCTCTCCACTGATGCAGCAATCCAAATCAAATCAAACCAAACCAAACCAAATTAGAAAAAGCCCACATTTAATGGATACAACGCTCCCAAATGGCCTTCCAGTCCCTGAGAAAGGAGATGGTAAAGGGTGACAAATGTCTTTGTAAAGTAGTCAGATCCCCTGGAACTTGAGTTACAGACAGTTGTGAGCTGCCATGTGGGTGCTGGAAATTGAACTCTGGAAGAGCTGCCAATGTTCTTAACAATGTAATGGTGGAAGCTTCACCCCAGTCCCTGGCATCCATATACCCAGAGTCTGGAATGTTCTGCTGGAAGTTCCACCCAGGCCTCCTCCCCCATCTTTCTTCAAACCTTGCTGCTTCTCAGAAAGCCCACCAAGTGATGACCCCTCCCCCAGAGGTGCTCAAGACCACTCCCACAGGATATTTAAACTGTCCTAGAAAATAGATTAGTTTTTTTTCCATCTCCCTTTTCCACTTCCTCTCTTGGGGACTGGAAGGCCATCTGGGAGCATTGCATTAATTAAACATGGCTTTTTATAATTTGGTTTGATTTGGTCTGATTTGGATTGCTGCATCGGTAGAGAGGCTTATCAGGGTGTAGAAACTTTTCACCTACAAATGTCAGCTTTTATTGGAATTAGCTGCATAGTTGTGAGAGAGCTAAAATAGAAGTTATCCATGCAAAACTGACCACACAACCTGAATGTTAGAGCCAGGGTCTGTTTTCTCCACTATAGCTGATATAAATAAAATGTTTCTCAATGAAAATTGGTATCTGTTAGAGCGAGGTCATTGAGTAGAACTCTGAATATGACAGTATGCTTGTTACTTCTGGATCTTCTTCCAGTCATAGTGCTTCACTAGTTATCCAGCAACCAAAACCACTCCTTTACATTTCCAAGCATCCTCATTCACAAGGGGTAGAGCTGAGCAAAGAACTTCTAGGCCTATTATAAGAGCTACCCAGCTTAACAAAAATCACAGATAAAAAAGAATGTATGGCTGTTACAAGCATGTTTTCTTGCCGGCCTGGTCCCTCAGCCATGCCAACCCCAAATAACACACAGACACAATGTATTGAATATAAATCTGTTGGCCAGTTACTAATTTCTTATTGGCTAGCTCTGTCTTAAATAGTAATCCATTTCTATTAATCTAAGTATTTCCACATGGTCTCCTGTTGGTCCTATATCTTGAAACTCCTAATACTTCCTCAAATCCTCCTTGTCTCCTAGTCCCGCCTATCTTGCTTTCCTATTGGCCAATAGTGCTTTCTTCATTAACCAATAAGAGAAGCATATTTATAGAATGACATCTCCCATCATAAGGCTGTACAAAATCTTGTCAAAAAAGCTATTTATTTCATTAACTACAATGTTTCCCAAATTGTACAGTCCTGAGAACCACCAGAGTCATTCATTGAAAAATGATTCTCCATTTCCTTGTGTAAAATCTTACCCTATTCTTAAGTTAAGTGCCCTAAGTAAATATTTTGTCTATATGAATTTTGAAACATTAGATGAGAAATCTATTTAGCCATACATTCAGTGAGAAATCACTACACTGTACTGTGTTACACCAAAATTCTGAATCTGTGCATTTTACAGAGCTTTGAATATCAAGCTCTGAACAATTCTATTATATAAGATATCCTATAGGTCACATAGTGATTGTAAATTGAATCAGCGATACTCAAAAACTTTTTTCTCTTTATCAGAGTTACTTGAGATATGTTCCACCGTGTGTGTGTGTGTGTGTGTGTGTGTGTGTGTGTGTGTGTGTGCCATGCTTGGTTTGTAAGCACTCTACCTATGGGTCATATATCCAGCTCACGGGATTAGCATTTTTTAAGACCATGCCTCCAAATCTGTGCCTATTTTACTACCTTGGACTTATTTTACCAGATAGGTTTTCTCAGGTTAACTCTTATTTTTCTTTTAATCTTATTCCCCTCAGGACAACCTACCCTGGATTTCCTCCAACCCCAGTGGCAGGTTAACTGTTCTTGAACTAACCCAGGTGTACACAGCCACAGCCAATGGCATTTTCCACTTTCCAAAGCTTCCCCTGCTCACGTCCAGTGCCACATTGTCCCAAAAATAAGAATCTAGAAGGCAGGGATTATATGAGCGGGTACAGTGTGTTCTTCCTAGACTCTCTTACTAATGCTACTAGACTTTGCAAGTCCTCTCATTCTCCAGCCTCTCTTAGCTCTCCCAGGGTACAGCTAAGCCTCAACAAAATAATAGGATGTATGCTACTGGGGACGGCCCCCGCATTTCTAGTAGGACAGAACTGAGATGACAGTGCCAGAGCTGTTAGCGAATGACTTCCCTGTTGCCAGGGTAAAGCGGCTGCAGCCATCTGTACTGCGGCTTAGGTGGGCGTCAGCGAAAATGACGGAGGAGCACTGCAAACGCCAAAGCCTTCAAATTTTCATAGCTCCTCCCCGCCGTGCGCAGCCAACGCCCCTTTTCTCGGGCTGAAGCCCTTCCCGCAGACTGTTGCCCCTCCCCCGGACAAAACCCTAGGCGGGAACCCACAACGTGACGCGGGCAGCGAGATCCGTGGCGGCTCTGTCCAGGTGCTTCCTTCTCCCACCGGACGGAGGCGCGCTCGGCCCTGGCCTCATTCTCCCACGGAAGTGTGTTTAGGCGCACCGGAAGCCACCTCAGGGGGTGAACCATGGCGGGTTTGCCTGTTAGAGACCCTGCGGTGGATCGTTCTCTGCGTTCTGTATTCGGTGAGAGGATTTCGGTGGCGCCTCCAGTCAGGGAGGGACGTCCCATGCGGTCCCCAGCTGGAGCGGGTGTCGGGGCGGGCGTGCGGTTTTGCTGCTGTGCTCTGACGCGGCAGCCTGGTGTACTCGTGGGCAATCAGACTCCCCCCCCCCCCGCACACTTGGGCTCCAAGGTATTGGAGATTTTCCGCAGTGTGGTTCAGGGAGCTAGACTCCAGCGTTTGTCTTCTCTGCGCTTTCCCCTTCGTGATTCTCAGTTATTTTTTTTAGGAGAAAAGGTGCGTGGAAACAGAGCGTCCCTGTTCCGTGCTGCTTCCCCTAGCCCAAAATACAGATTTAATCCTGAAACCATCGACCCTATGTCCATTTACCGCCCTCTCATTAAACGCATAATATCGCTTGCTTTTTACCTGTAACGTTTCTTCCAACCATAGTGGTAGCGGCCACCTGACATCTTGAGGTGGGTTGCGAATGAATGAAAGAATGAATGAATGATTAAAGCTCAGGGAGATTCTAGAGAAGCGAAACTAAGCAGTTCTTAGGAATTAAACGAGTTGCTTCTAAAATATGTGTGTTTTAAAGCTCATCTTGGGGCATTAGCATTGCTTCAAATTCAAGGCCAGCCTAGGGTACATAACAAGGCCAGCCAGAGCTGCATAAGATTCAAAACTGCAAGAAGCACTGTTTGAAAAAAACATGACAAAACATTTCAGAATAATTTTTAAACCCCCTCCACTATATTCATGGCTATTTCTCCATAAGTGCATGTATACATGGAAATAAGACATAAACCCACAGCTTTTAATTTATAGTTTTAGTAGTCACTGATTGAATATTTTCATCAAAGTAAGGGAAAACATCCTATTTGTGATATCCATATGAGAATTGTTTGAAAGACATCTTTATTTAGTCTCTGGCTCTCTTATGGGGTCTCAAAAGATACAGTGGAAGCAGGGTTTTGGAGAACACTTTGTTCAGTCTCCTTGTTAACATATTTATTGATAAACATAGAAAACCGACTGTTTGCTGGCTCACTGACTGAGCTCCATTACTGTCCCAGCGTTTATATGTATTATCTGTTCCTTAGTGGGAAACATTCCTTATGAAGCTACTGAAGAACAACTGAAGGACATCTTCTCTGAGGTTGGGCCTGTTGTTAGTTTCAGGTGAGATTCTTTAAAAAAAATCACCACAGATTTTGAGAGAAATGTACATGCTTTATAATTCATATCCAGTCTTACCTGGGAGATTTCTTTCATTAAAAAAATGTTTCAAAAACATAAAAGCAGAATTAGAATATTGGGGGGGTGGAGACAGGGTTCTTCTGTGTAACAGCCTTGGCTGTCTGGAACTCTATATCTAGGCTGCCCTTGATCTCAGAGATCTGCCTCCTGAGTGCTGGGATTAAAGGCGTGTGCCATCAACTCCTGGTCTAAATTAAAACATGCCAATGCTAGCAAAAAGCCAGTCTCTGTGTGTATAGCATTTGTTCCTAATACTTGGTTTTGCTCTTCAGATTGGTATATGATAGGGAGACAGGAAAACCAAAGGGCTATGGCTTCTGTGAATACCAAGACCAAGAAACAGCGCTTAGTGCCATGCGGAACTTGAATGGGCGTGAGTTCAGTGGGCGAGCACTTCGAGTGGATAACGCTGCCAGTGAAAAGAACAAAGAAGAACTGAAAAGTGAGTATAAATGCCAGCCATATGTATTACAAGTTAGTGAAGATGAAGCAATGCAAGTTGTTCATTTATGATGATGCTTTTGAAGATACTGAGGTGGTTAGCTGAACAAAAAGCTTCTTAGAACCCTGGGTGCCTGAGTGAAGGATGTGTACATTTAAGCAACTTGGCTTTAGAAATCTTTCTGTTCTTTAGGAGTTGGTCTCCAGTTTAAGGGAAATTCAGTTTCATCAAGCCTAAAGGCATTTCTACAAATCCTGTTGAAATTAGCATCTTTTTCTGTTTAAATGCTTTTCTTCTGAAGTGATTTGTCAAAGACCTCAATACCAGCATTATCACTTTCCCAGCTGTCCTCCAAGAACAGAAGATACATTGTCACTTTCCTTCTCAGAAAGGAGATTTTTGGGTGGCTTAATTTCCAGCTCCAGAGTCTGAAGTTACTGGTTGTTGCTCACAGACACCCTGAAAAATAGACATTTGAAATGACTTAGGTTGTTATTTTGCCTTCCTGACTTTCTTGTGCTTTCTTCCTAATCAGGCCTTGGAACTGGTGCACCCGTCATTGAGTCACCTTATGGAGAGACCATCAGTCCTGAGGATGCCCCTGAATCTATTAGCAAAGCAGTTGCCAGTCTTCCACCAGAACAGATGTTTGAGCTGATGAAGCAAATGAAGGTGGGAGAAGGCATTAGATTATAAAGAAAACAATTTACATCAGATTTTCAAGGCGTTAATGGACTTAATTCCCGGAGCTTAAGTAGTTGAGTCTATAGGCACTGTATCGTCCACATTTTGTACACAGAGCTATTTTTATACACAAACAGACCTGCCCAAATAGTCCAGCTGTGTTTCTGTGCCCCCTGTAGATGTTACATTATAGTTTTGCCCATAAGTTATAATATTACCATATTCTAAATGCCTTTTCTTGCCTGCCAGGGCAACAATTTTTTGTTTAAAATCAGTGCTAAATCACTAGGCATAGTGTTTTGTGCCTTTATTCCCACAACTTGGGATGCTGAAACAGAAGGGTCACAGTGAGTTCAAAACCAGAATGGAATACATGAGGTTTTGTCATGTCTCAAAAAGAAAAGCAGAAGTAACTCAGACATTGTCTTGAATATTACATTTATGAGATAAAATGGCTCAAATCATTATCAGATTCTTTGTATTGAATCTGAAGGTGAATTTTCTTATCTTCTCAGCTCTGTGTCCAGAATAGTCCCCAGGAAGCACGAAACATGTTGCTTCAGAATCCACAACTGGCTTATGCTTTGCTACAAGCACAGGTAGTGATGAGAATTGTGGATCCTGAGATTGCCCTGGTGAGTGCTTCTGGTTCTTGTATGGGATAAGAACTGCCTGATTGGCTTGTTAAACGGACAGCTCATAGATGTATCTTTTCACTTTTTAGAAAATTCTCCATCGCCAGACAAATATCCCAACGCTGATTTCAGGCAACCCTCAGCCAGTCCATGTTCCTGGGCCTGGCTCAGGACCCAATGTCACAATGAACCAACAGAATCCTCAGGCCCCTCAGGCTCAATCTTTGGTAGGGTTTTATTCCACAACTATTTTTTTATCTGTCTTAAAATGTTATTTTCTTTCCAGGAGAATATTGAGAGAAGAAACAGCAAGAATCAGAGATGGTAATTAAAATTTTTAGGCATAAAAGCAATTTCAGATTGCACAGCACTTGCCCCACCCTAAAGAATGTAGATTCCATTCCAAGTTAATAAAACAGAGATCCTTCCTGTGACCTCTTTTCTAGTAAGCTAATTTTTTGTGGGTGTGTATAACTGCCACTGTGGTTATTACTTTAATATCTTATGTGTTATCTCACTTAATCCACATAGTAGCAAAATGAGACAAGCATTCTTACTGTCTCCATTCTCAGCAGTAACAAAGGGAAAAGCACATGTTGAAAAGCATGATTGTAACTCTACAGACATAAAAATTTAATACATCCAAAGGTTGACATTTTTTTGTAAAAAAAAAAAAAAAAAGTAAGAAAAGACTAAATGGGAAAAGAATTTGCCACACATATGATGTACAAGAGGCTAATTCTAAATAAAGAGTATTTGGTCATGCTCAAAGGTGTCTATTGCCATATGATAATAGCAAATATTAAAAACATGTAAAATGTTCATTAACGAAAAGTGGAGAAAATTTGGTATATCTATCCAATGGAAAACATTTAAGTAAACTACATGTATGAATAGAAATGACTTTTAGAAACCTAATGCATTAAGATAGGCAAGAATATGTAGTATCACCACATATAACTCAAAAATATAACAGCATACAGAAAGTAAAATTAAGTGGAAGGAGAGAATGTATTCCTACAGATTGTCTTCAAGTATGCCATAATATATACACCTGCAGACTAGATAGACAGATGGTATACACATGCACACTGGATGGATGGATGGATGGATGGATGGATGGATGGATGGATGGATAACAAGATGGTTCAATAAGTGATGTTGCTTATTGCCACACCTGACAACCTGAGTTCAACCCCCAGGAGCCATACAGTGGAAAAAAAGAACTTGAACAAGTTGTCTTCTTATCTCTGACCTCCACATGCATGTTGGGGTTTACATGTGAACATAAGTAATTTGAGGGGAATATATATATATATATATATATATATATATATATATATATATATATATATATTAGACAGGGTCTGACTATATGACTCTAGGGCAGTCCTTACACCACTATTCCTGGCTTGAAAAAATTTATCTGTTTAACAGTTTAGCGAATTTGGTGATACACACCATTAGTCCTAGCACTTGAGAGGCAGAGGCAGGTAGCTGGATTTCTGAGTTTGAGGCCAACTTGGTCTACATAGAGTTCCAGGATGGCCAAGATTATATAGAAAGAACCTGTCTCAAAACAACAACAGATGAGAGAAGAATTTAGTCAATGAATTATCATGTACCAGCCCCTGTCCTAAATAAGTATTTTGCAGAAATGGAAAATTAAAACTGAAAATGTAACCAAAAGAGTTATGGGTGGAAAATTAGGATCTGAACCTAGTATAATCTCATAACCTGTTTTAACCACCTCCCTGTACACTTTCCTCTTTTCTGCTTTAGTTCTGATTATAGTGAACATGTGTATGATATTTTTAAAAAGCATTCATACAACTTTTACTGCAGTGTATTGCTGTAGTTGTTCTATTTTCAGTTATTATTGTAAACCTCTAAATAGAACCTTGGAGGAAAATAGTGATATATACAGACAAGTTAAAAAATACCTAAGGCTTTGAATATCCACTGGAGATTTTGAAATGTGTCTGAAGAAAACAGGGTGCTAGTATGTTTCACTCTCCTCTACTATCCAATGATGACTTCAGAGATGAACGAACATGTGAACCAATCATGATTCATTGAGATCCATGTCATTTTGGACCTTATCCAACAGATAAACCACTGCTGTCAGTGTAAGAAGCAGCAGTTGCGAGCAGCATCTCTACTTTGAACCTCATTCCTCACTTCTTTATTAATAAGCTGTTATACTGTACACAGACTGCAGAGACATGCAGAAAGAGTGGGATACTACTGAACTCAGACTCTAAACTTTCTTTTTGGTGCCCATGTATTTGATTTTTTTAAAAAGTCTTTTTATTCTTTGTAGTACTTTGCATTCCAAAGATGTGCATAGTTCTCATGAAAAGATTGCATCTCCTTTCTCTCTGGCAATTGAATGTGTCATTTAAAAAAATCTACAAATTTACACATACAGCCAAGAAAGTTACATCAAAGGGCAGAAATTATTAAAGTTTGAAAAAAAATGTAGAGTGCCAGCAGGATTTTTTTTTTTTTTTGACGTCTCAGTCCCTTTTTTGTCTTGAGTATAATGCATTCTTTTATTCTTATTGTTAGGCACCAATCAATGAAGTCAAGAATGAGTTACAGTGAAGTCAAGAATGAGTTATTACACTGCATATGTTCCATCTTAACTGCTTTCACGTAACCAGGTTCAAGTTATGTACTGCAGTTTGCTTCTGTGTAATTCAGAGTATGTGATAAACCTAATGTTATAGAAGACATAAAAAAAAAGGATATTTAGCAGATTATTGGAGCTACCAATTTCAAGAGAAACTTAAGGCTATAGGCTAATTGCTTGAGTCTGCAGAGACTTGTTTTTCTTGCTCACGCTTTTTTTCTCTTGGTCAGGGTGGAATGCATGTCAATGGTGCACCTCTGATGCAAGCTTCTATGCCAGGTGGAGTTCCGGCCCCAGTGCAAATGACAGCAGCTGTAGCAGGACCTGGCCCTGGTTCCTTAGCACCTGCAGGTAACTTTCAGTTAGTCTTTACCATTTTGTTACTTTGCTGAGGTTTTATAGTAGCAACTGCTGAAGTTCAGCCAATTATTTAATAATAGGATCGTGGTATACAATATATGTGTAGCTATAACATGTATTGTAGGCTGAGGAAACTAGATGATTTCTTCTTTGTTTTTTAATGGTTTAAAAGAAAAGGCCTTGCTGTGTAGCTGGGGTTGGCCTCAAACTTGTAATCCCCTTACTTCAGATGCTCAAGTGCTGGAATTAGAGGCATGTGCCACCAATCTTGGCTAAATGAGCTCTTAAGTGAGACAGGTAAGCTGGTCACAGGCTTGGATGTCACAACAGCATCAGATTCCTAGAGATTTCTAATATCTGTTCTCCATTTCTGTACTTACATTGTCATGAAATGCTTACATAGGCTATTGATCAGTACTTCTCTAGACATGGTGAGTAATAGGTAACTAATAGGAATGATGAGCTCCACTTAATTTTTAGAGATAGCGTTACATCTCTTGGCTATAGTATATACTCCCCTACTCCAAATGACCATATAACCCTTAAGAAAGACCACATACTTAGCTATAAGTTAAATTTAGCAAGTTTGAGGCAATAGAGATTTTTACAGATAACATTATTTGATTTTAAACCAATAAAATTAGAAATAATTAAAAGTAGAATGAGAAGAAATCTTGACTTGGAAAATTGAGTAACATACTATAGCTATTTAAAGAGTAAATAAAAATTACAAATAGCGTAAATTAAAACAAAAGTAATATATATTTATATTCCATAGTTTTGAGAAATAGTAAAGGTAATGCCTTTGTTACGAAAAAATAAATTTCAAGCCTGGCGTTGGTAGTACACACCTTTAATCTCAGCACTGGGGAGGCAGAGGCAGGCATGCCTCTGAGTTCTGAGGCCAGCCTGGTCTACAGAGCTAGTTCCAGGACAGGTTGCAAAGCAATACAGAGAAACCCTGTCTCGAAAACCAATACTTAAGTAAGTAAGTAAGTAAATAAATAAATAAATAAATAAATAGTTATATGCTTGTACTAATGAATTAGAAAAATAATAAACCACAAGACACTAAGAAGAGAAAATTAATGAAGATGGGGGCATAGAGAGCACCATGTACAAAGTCCCATCATCAGTCCCCAGCACCAGGCACAAAAAAGTCCTTATCAATCAAAACACCCACCCCAGAAGAACAACAGCAACAACAACAAAAAACTCACAATATCCATAAAAATTAAAATAATTAACTTTCAAGGTATTTTTGAGTTTATAGTATTTATATTTATGAATTTATTAAAACTTCTTGGGAATTTTTGAGCTGTCCTTTAGAGTTCTTTGAAAATTGGTAAGAGGAAAATCAGCCTATGGGAAAGTGCAGGAAGAAACTATTTAAGAGCTTTATAAAAGAGCCAGATGGCCAACAAAAACAGCCTCCTTTATAGTTTGGGAATTAAGTAAAATCAAATGTCCAACTTTCAAAGAAGAGGACAGACAATATATGTAAGGAAATTTGTACTCAAACATCATTGGTAGAAATTAGAAGGCTTTCACCCTTTCAAGTAGTACAACATGAGAGATACCTACATTCTAACCACCAGTTCCACCACTGGGGAATTAGCCTGTTCAAATAAAAGGTACTATGTGATGTTTTTTATGTAGGGAATTATGATCATAATTCCTTCTGCTGTCTTTTCCTTGGATCCTAAACCTTTGTATTGTGTTGGTAATTGGTCTGGATTCAATGGCATGGAACATTATGGCTGGAAGGAAGCTTTGAATTCATTTAAACTATTAGTTCCAGACTTTAATGTATGTTAGAATCACCTGAAGGGCCTTTAACATGCAGATTGATGGTTTCTGTTACCAAATTATAATAAATCTGAGAATCTGCAGGTTTTTTTTTTTTTTTTTTTTGCATTTTTCTTGTTGACGCTGATATGACTTATCTGGCTGTGGACAGCCTTCTGAGGACTACTATTTGGAACAACCTGTTTGTTTTACAAATAAGAAAGCAGAGAATGTAGTACTTTTATTGAGTCACTCACTTGTTCAGAGTCACAGTTCCTTAGTAGCAAGAGCTGGACTAGCCCCCAGTTCTCTGGGTACTTAATCCATAACTTTTTTTAGTGCTTAGCGTGTCCAATGAAATAGGGATAAAATAATGTATACATTCTAATTTAAGGAAATATCAATAAACTGCAAACAAATCAGCTTGCCTTTTGTGTCCCTACTCAACAGCATATCTTGCTCCTTTGAGGAAAAGAGAATTATTGCCTTGTGAAAGGGACCAAACAAGGATGTGTGGTGTGTGGTTATTCTTTCTATAGTAGTCATCACACCCCATCTGGTTAGTGTAGACCATAGGTTCTCAACCCTGCTAAATCCACTATCCCCTTTTTGTAGCATATTTTTCAGTGGCTTTACTGTCCTGAAATGTACAGTACAGATGATACAACCTTTGTAACATGACTTCAAAAAATTAACATAATACCCTAATTATAATACAAACAAAAAGTAAAAGAAAATTAATTTGTAATTTAAAAATTAATATGTTAATATCCAAGTAGAGTTAGGAAACAAAATGTAATAGGTGTTTACATCTATCCCATGAATGTAAAAATTAAAATGTAGTCAGTTATAATGATGTTTGATTTTGTAATTCAAATATCACAGGACTATTGATATAGTTATCTTAAATAGTGAAAAATCATACTGAAATTCTTAAAACAAATTGCAGTCTCTGTAATTTACTCAGCAATTGCATTCCTAGAAAAGTCAGTGTATGTATACTAAAACAGCACATATAACTTTTGTGTTTACAAATACAATAGCCTCAGATTCTAGGTTGAGATGGCAAGGACAGCTTTTCTTTTGTATGAATGTTCAGTGAGTCATTTGAGAGCTTTTTCAAACATAAGGTCAGTCTTGATTTTTGTGGAACTGTCTCAAACTTTGTAGGTCACCTGGTATCCCTAGTACCATCTCATTCAGGATGAATTGTGCTCCCCAAAAGCCTTGTCATAACTAAACAATATACCCAGACATTATAAAATACCCTAGGAGTGATACTGCCTCTCATGAAAGGACGCTTGTGAATAAGAGGCATTTTTTTTTTATTAAAGGACATTCTACCATAATTTTGGTAATTGACATGAAATATTCCTTCTGAACTCACTTGTCACTAAAGTGTGACATACTTCATCTTCTTTTTCACTGCATTGTTGAATGGTAGTTATCACCTTCCATCCTAAGTTGTGGGGGAAAATGATGACATTTGTAAACTCCACCACTGTTGTTTTTTTTAATGTAGGCCCAATTTATGTTTTTCCCTGCCCTTTATTTTCTAGGAGTCATGCAAGCCCAAGTTGGAATGCAAGGAGGTGGACCAGTGCCTATGGAACGAGGACAAGGTAAATATTAAATATCTGTTGAAAGTATAGTGAACATGGAAATGTTCCATATATGCACTGTCTAATGTGTCAGCCACTAACCACCAGTGGCACTTTAAAGTTTATTCAAATTAAGTTCAAATAAGCAATACCTAACATTCTTATTTCCTGGGCACAATAAAATTGCATTCCAAGTGCTCAGTAGCCATATGTGCTAATGAAGACTACACTGGGCATTGCAGATGGAGAATGTTTCTATGGTCACCAAAACTTGCATTGGTCCAGACTTGGATATTCAGAGTCTAGGTCTACAAGAATCGGTGATGTGGCAAATGCATCATTTGTTTTCTGATTGTCTAACAACTCCACTAGTGTGTTCTCAATTTGTGAATAGCTGTTGACCTTGTAAGAAGTTTTAATAGTGAGAATATAGTACAAGACCAGGTCTGTAGATGTTACGATATAAACCCTGTAGCAAACTGGGAGCAAAGCAGAAGTCTATAAAGCATAGTTGTAAAGTGTTGCCTGTACTGTGGCAAAAGCACTGTATAAGAGCAGCTGTCCTTCCAGAATCTTTCTGTACTTTCCTCATAATATTGGAGTCTAAAGGAAAAAGAAAGTACATCAGTTCAGTTAAAAACAAGAGACAATAGAAAAAAAGGAAACTGAATGAATACTGTAAATACTCTATAACTTCTGTTTCCATAGACAGTCTTGTGAGTTAGGTGGTAGTGCCTCAGTTTTACAGGCAAAGAAATGGAAGCACAGAAGTTTGAAGTTTTTTATTGGGATGCGGTAAGTGTGTACTCACATCTGAGTATTGTGGCCTGAACCTGGTGCTCTTCTCTTTTGACTAAAAGATTAAAATTTCTGAATCCAAAATCTGCCCTTGCTGGATGGATCCCAGTACTCAAGAGGCAGAGACAGGCAGAGACAGGCAGATCTTTGTGAGTTCGAGGCCTGCCTAGTCTACAAAATGAGTGCCAGGACAGCCAGGGCTATACAAAGAAACCCTGTCTTGAAAAAACAAAAGTAATAATAACAAAATCTGCCCTCTTCCCATCATTCTATACTGCCAGTGTTAATTTCAGAATTAATTTTCAAGATAGTGTACTTACTCAATAGGTTCCTATGTTGGGAATAGATTGCTTTGGACAGGAACAGAGGGACTTGATATTTTTCTTCTTATCTGATTCCCTATAAGAGAAATCTACTTGAGAAGCAAAATATTTTAAGATACAGACCCATGGTGCATACACAGGGATTGGTGACTGAAATGATGAATCTAAACTTGTCTCATCAGATGAATGGCAACAAGACAAACTTCTGGCCAAATAGCTCATCTTCCCTCTAAAATGTCCCATGCTTTTGTACTGCTATATATGCTCATCTAATTACTGTCACTACATGGTGTATCTACCCCAAAATATCTTTGCAGTAGTGAGAAGGGTTTAGGCTTCGTTACATCTCTCCTCCTTCCCAGGCCATCAGTTCCAATCCCTCAGCCATTTAACACTTACTTCTATGAGACATCTTTCTTCCTATTGTAGTTTAGCCCCATCTTTCAGGTAAGAATTTACAAAAGGAATTGACTCACAGTTTGAAAGTATTTTAAGGATCTGTTAATGCAAAGAATTTTTATATATAATATTCTTATTTTACAAATCGATCCCAGTTCCCTCTCCCTCCCGTGCCCCCCGACCCCCTACTCCACTGGGAGGGTGATGCCTTCCAGGAGGGAACCAATAAAATCTGCCAAGTCATTTGAAGTAGGGACTAGGCCCTCCCTCCTGCCTCTAGGTTAAGGGAGTATCCCTCCATGGGGAATGTGCTCCCAAAGTCATTTTGTGCACCAGGGATATATCATGGTTTGTGAGATGAGTTTTTAAAAATAATTTCCTTCAGTACCCAGCATATGAAACAAGAATGTTTTTATTTGTGACCAGATTTGTCTTCCTTTGCCTGGAGTCCTTCTTTGGTTTGTGCATTTATAGTGGTGACGGGAGATGTTTGAGACAGTGCTTCTCTCTTTCCCACCTCCTTTGTTTAATGCTGGTTACCGTATCGGCTCATTAATCTTTGTCATTTTTTATATAATCATAAACTTGCTATAGGAGGCTGTTTCATTCAGGTGATAGTCTCTTTCCTCACCTAAAGTTCATCAGCTGCATTTATCCATTTGATATTTTTGACAGATTTTTAGACTAAAAAAAATTAGTATTACCCCACTTATGTTATAGCCTCTCTGTAATAAATCCCATGGCATGTTCATTGGATTTTCTTTCAAGTTTTGCTTCTGGAAATACCTTTTTCTATGTTTTATTTCTTTTTGTAATGTACAGGAAGACATAAGGGAAAAATGCTGTAGTAACAGAAAGGAGAGTCCAAAATTGCTGGTTATTCTTGCCTAAGTAAACCAGCCCATAGGTTTCCCTTAAGAAAGATGCCTGCTCAAAGCAGAGCAGTTGGATAAGTGAAGGCTGGGCAAACTAATGAACTCTTGCCTTCTTACTGACATGTGTGAATCTCCAGTCTCTAAGTGTGTATGTTCAAGCTGTTTAAGTGTTTGCTGTTTCTCCTTTTGAACTTACTGCTCACCTAAGGAACCCTACAGCACTCGCCCGTGGGACCCGCCGGGCCTGCATCAATTGAGCGAGTTCAAGGTACCCATTGTATCTGCAGGTTTCCTTTTGCTTGTGGTGTCCAGGGTGGGGACATTGAGAGGAAAAGAGATGCTTGGCAATCATCCTCACATTCAGAGCCCCAAAAGGGTAGTGGTTTGGGGATTTTTTTTTATTTTTTATTTTTTTCCCTTGAGGCAACAGACCTAAGATTGACCTCTTCACATAGGACAGAGAACATGGATGATAGGGGCATCTGTCCAAGGCTCTACTCCCTCCCTACTGGTGTCAAGAGGCTTGGATGGAATAGCAGTCTGTAAGGAGACAGCAGGTTCTTACAGAGCCATGGCAGTGTTTATATGCCAAGGCCCTACCTCTCTTTTGTGACTGGTCCTTAAACTAAGATTGATTAGAAAGAAAACCAGGATCATAAGTTTCTTGAGGTCACAGTGCTAGTCCTTGGCAGGTTGCTTCCCAATTTGGTCTTTATATAATTCCATCCATACCTCTGACATGGCACAGATTCTGCCTACATCCTGCTTCTGTTCTTGAGCTGCAAGAGGATTCTGCTGTGGTGAGGTTTCACTCTAAGACACTCTAAGGTGTCTGAATTATGCTGTCAGTGGTATAGAGTCATTTCTTGTTTCCTTGTATGTCTTTCACAGCAGTAACTCCCTGTTTGTTTCCCTGTCAGTGCCGATGCAAGACCCCAGAGCAGCTATGCAGCGGGGAGCCTTGCCTGCCAATGTCCCAACTCCTCGCGGACTGTTAGGAGATGCCCCCAATGACCCTCGGGGAGGCACTTTAATGACTGTAACAGGAGAGGTAGAGCCTAGGTAAGTACTGATGTAGAAGGAAATAGCCTGAGAAGTTGGAAAGTTTCCTTACATAGAAAGCAAACTCTGAAACAGTTGGACCTGTTTGCCTACTTCAAAAGAAAAATAAGTATTTGTAGCCACTGTCCAAGATTAAGCACTTTTCCTAAAGCATAATTGTATAGTTAAGAAAGTAACTTTGAACCAACTATGATTACTGTATTTTCAGAAATTGAAAATTCTAGTAATGTATACTTAAACAAGGAAAACATGAGATAATGGTACTATTTTTTTATAATTTATTTCTTTTTTTCAAGTTTCATTTTACTTTCCAACATCAGTTCTTACTCCTACCCACCCTCCTGCCTCCTCTCCTCACAGCCCCTCCCCATTGACTACTCCTCACAGGTAAGTGCTCCCATGAGGAGTCAACAAATTATGGCACATTAAGTTGGGGGCAGAACCAAGCCTCTCTCCCATGCATTAAGGCTGAGCATGGCATCCCTCCATAGGGAATAGGCTCCAACAAGCTAGCTCATGCATGTACCAGGGATTGATAGATCCTGGTCCTTCTGCCAGGGGCCCCTCAGTTAGTCCAAGCTTCACAACTGTCTCCCACATATGGAGGGCCTAGTTTTGTCCCATGAAGTCTCCACAGTTGTTAGTCCAGAGTTCATGAGTTTCCACAAGCTTGGTTCAGCTATCTCTGTAGATCTCCCCTTCACAATCTTGACCTCCCTTGCTCATATATTCCTTTCTCCCTCCCAGAGCTTGGCCTGGTGCTTGGTTGTGGACCTCTGCATCTGGTTCCATGAATTACTGGATGAAGGCTCTATCATGACAGTTGGAGTATTCACCAGTCTGGTTACAGGGGAAATCCAGTTCAGAAACCCTCTTCACTATTGCTAGAAGTCTTAGGGAGGTCATCCTTTTGGATTCCTGAGAGTTTACCTAGCACCAGGTTTCTCCTTAACCCTGAAATGCCCCCAACATCAAGACATCTCTTTCATTGCTCTTCCACTCCATCCCTCTTCCCCTCAACCATTCTGTTCCATCATATTCTTTTTCCCCCTCCTCTCCCCTTCACTGGCTCCCACCCTCAGTTTACCCAGTAGATTTCATCTAAGTTCCCTTCCCAGGAAGATCCAAGCATCCCTCCTAGGCTCCTCCTTTTTACCTAGCTTCTCTGGAGCTATGGTTATAATCTGATCATTCTTTGCTTTACATCTAATACCCGCTTATGAGTGATTACATACCATGTGTGTCTTTCTGAGTCTTACGTTACCCCACTCTGGATGGCTTTTTCTAGTTCCATCCATTTGCCTGAAAATTTCAAGGTGTCATTTTTTTTTTACAGCTGAGTAATACTCCATTCTGTAGATGCACCACATTTTCTTTGTCCATTCTTCAGTTGGTGGGTATTTAGATGGTTTCCAGGTTATGGCTGTTACTAATAATGCTGCTATGAACATAGTTGAACAAGTGTCCTTGTGGTATGATTGATCATCTTTTGGATATATGCCCAAGTGGTATCTCTGGGCCTCAAGGTAGATTGATTCCCAATTTTCTGAGAAACTTCCATATTGATTTCCAAAGTGGCTGTACAAGTTCACAGTCGCACCAGTAATGGAGGAGTGTTCCCCTGATTGATAATGGTATTATAAATGACAATAGTTTTTGATGTTGGTGCAGATCATACCTCTGGCTTTTCTCTAAATACATAATTTAAAGCACCTTATTAAATCTGCCTTAGGCATGGGGTATAACACCAGTGGTAGAACACTTGACTAATATTACCAAGGCCCTAGGTTCAATCCTCAGCCCCACAAGGAGAGACACATAAAGCCATATAACCTTATAAATGAATATTAGTAGTCCTATTTTACAGGTAAAGAAATAAGGCATATAGAAGTTAAGTTAGTGACTCAGATCACATAGCTAATAAATGGTAAGAAAGACCTATATTTCAACCATTCCATCTGAATCCAGAACCTGCATTGCTAAACATTATACTATACAGTCATTGTACATATGATAAGTATCCATTAATTCTTCCCTAATTTTGAATGCCCTAGCCAAGTAAGAAATTTTAGAAGTGACACATTTACATTGTGTAGCTTTCCTTTGGTCCATGTGATGTTACCGTCTTATTACCATTTATTCACTATTGTTTTTACCAGTTTTCTGATGGATGTTTTCATATTAATCGGGTTGCTACTTTGATGTTGGTATATTATGCTTTAAAATGTCTACTTTTCTCCATTTCTAGAGCTTACTTGGGGCCACCACCACCACCTCATCAGGGCCCACCCATGCACCATGTTCCTGGCCATGAAGGCCGTGGACCACCCCCACATGACATGAGGGGAGGTCCATTAGCTGAGCCAAGACCTTTAATGGCAGAGCCAAGAGGACCCATGCTAGATCAGAGGGGTCCACCCATGGATGCTAGAGGTAAGGGGAAACTGCATCACAACTCCCATTAATAGCCATGAGTTGATGAAGAACTTGGCTTTCTTTAGTTCTAATACGGGACAGAAGTCTAGGCAAGAGATTTTATGATTTACTTACAGATGTAATAAACTAGGTAAGGAGAGAAGTGACTAGCTACACAGACTTTCTTACAACTTTCTAGGTGGAAGAGATCCCCGAGGATTAGATGCACGAGGGATGGAGGCCAGAGCCATGGAGGCCAGAGGATTGGATGCCAGAGGACTGGAGGCCCGTGCCATGGAAGCTCGTGCCATGGAGGCCCGTGCCATGGAAGCTCGTGCCATGGAGGCCCGTGCCATGGAAGCTCGTGCCATGGAGGCCAGAGGCATGGATACTAGAGGCCCAGTACCTGGACCTAGAGGACCTCTGCCTAGTGGAATCCAAGGTCCCAATCCAATGAACATGGGGGCTGTTGTTCCCCAGGGATCAAGACAGGTAATACTTGTAGCATCTACATAAAAACTTAATGTAATAGGTACTTGGTTACTGTGCCTGATTTTTATTACCTTCTGACTTGAATAAATCTGCTTGTTAGAAAAGAGAGACTAGGTTCTCCTTTTACTTTCTCATATCCCTTAGGAGAAGTGTGTCCTAGCCTCTAATCCAAAAGAACAACCTTGTTCCACAATTTTAATAGCTATTTCATTCAGAAAAATTTCTGAAAATGAAAATGGACAGGTCAGATATTTGCCCTGGATATACAAAGCAACATATTGTACAAAGCCCCTCCCCACACCAAAACCCACACTTGTTCAGATCTCAGGCCTTTTGAAAGACCTCCCCCAAATGATTACAGTGCACAGTCCTGAGATTATCTCAGGGTGTAGAGACCTGTGTGGATTTATTGTAATCACAACATCTAAATGAACAGTGACGTAGGAATGACAATCTGCATATACCTCTGAAACTGCAGTCTGTCTCTTCTGTCGCCTTCACTTGGCTCACTCCAGCTGTGTGTATGGAATGCTTTGTAGTAGTCAGCTTCTCATTTATCATCTGCAGTTGATGGGGAGATGGAATGTATGTATCTTCCCAAGTTTCTATATGTTGATGCCCTCATTTTTCCATTTCTCTCTTCCCATTTTCATGTGTTTCTGCGTCTTCCAGTGTATTGGGGTTGGGAGAGAAAGAGAAGGAGAGAGATCAAAACTAGAATATAACATGCCTGGCATCCAGTTCTCTCATTTTATAGGTTTGGAAGCTGAAGGCAGAAAGTCCAGACACTTGGCCAAATTCACCTAACTACAAAGTAGCTTGCTCTTCTATTCTGCTACTCTCTCTTATTTGCATGTATATGTGTCTCTGTGTGTGGATGTTGCCTGATTCTCTTTAATCTGAGACCAACTTTTGACTTTTCTTGGTATATATAGAAGAAAAAAATGTGTTTTCTGTTTTATTTCAAGTTTTGCTTTTTAAAAATGTATGTGTGGGCTCTGATTTTTGTTGCACCCTCTATGGTCAACAGCCTCATAACACATGTTGTTTTATGCATCTTTTCAATACTTATTGAGCATCTACTAAATACCAAGCATAGTTCTAGGGCTATAGTAGTATGAACAGCAAAATCTTGCCATACTAGCAGAAGACACATATCAAGTAAGTATACACTGTGCTTATGTGATTCTGCTGACCATTCTGTGAACAAAGACATTGAAAATGATGGCTTGCTTCTTTTTCTCTGCTAGTACTTGAATTCATTCCTTTCTAATGCTAGGGTATTTTGTTGTTGCTTTGGATTTTTTAAAATTTGGTTTTGAGATGCCAAGAGTCAACCTAGAACTATGAATGCTAAATCATCTACCACCAATTCTGTAAAGCCAATGAGATCCAAGCTAGCGAAAATAAAAACTTCTATACTTTTTTACATTTTTAGGAATATATTCAATAAGTATATAAATAATACATCTTTGTTATCTATAAAAGCTTTATATTACAAACATTTCTTCCTCTTCTATATCTCTCACTTATAATAGATAGTTGCCTTTGTTAGTTTTTTTTTTTTTTTTTTTTTTTTTTTTTTTTTGAGACAAAGTCTCTTCGTGTAGCCCTGCAACTCTCTATGTATACTGGACTGGTCTTGAACTCACCAATATTTGCCTGTCTCTGTCTCAGAAGTGCAAAGGCATGTACCACAACATCTGGCTTATCTGATATTTTTCTACTTTTGTTCTTTTTATGATCTTTTTTTAACTTAATAAGGCCTTCATATATCATTTTAAATTGAATTTTAAATTTAACTCCACTCCACGCATTTAGAAACTTGTAGCTAAAAGGCTTCTTGTTACTAGGGTAGCTAAGGAATTTGCTGTACAAAGAAAGACACATTCATGAAAAGTGCTGTTGATAATTTACTCTGAGACAAAAGCATAAACTGGGACTGTCTTAGGCCAACCAAGATATGTGGCCAGTCTTACTAGAACTTATCTACCCAGTACAGGTACTCTTGGAAGCTTCAACTGGCCAGTTTGGGTACTTATTTCATACTACACTGTCTCAGATTGCTATTTTTGAGTATTAGTAAATTCCTAAGTGACTGTACCCAAAGGTGGCTCATATCCATAATAGATCATTAAGGTTGATTAGTCCCTGGACTAAGTAATATAATAGACAGAACAGTGGTATTATTTCAGCATCCTCTACGTTCCATTGTCTTAGAAAAGAGACAATAACTGATGCATGTGAGTGAGTATTCCTGGTATCTAAATTACTATTGCTGTGAAGAGACAAAATGACAATGGCAGCTCTTATAAAAGAAAGCATTTAATTGAGGGCTTGCTTACAGTTTCAGAGGTTTAGTTTCATTATCATGGTGGGAAGCATGCCAGCAAGGTCCTGGAGAAGTAGGTGAGAGCTACATCCTGATTCATAGGTAAAGGGGGAGATAGTGGACTTGGCATGGGCTTTTGAAACCTCAGTGCTCACCCCCAGTGACACACTTCCTCCAACAAGGTCACACTTCCTAATCCTTTGAAATAGTGCCACCCCCTAGTAAATAAGCTTTCAATCATATGAGCTTATAGGGCCCGTTTTTACTCACACCCCCACATTCGACTCCTTAGCTCCCATAGACTCATAGCTGTATCATAATGCAAAAATTCACCCAGACCAACAGTCCATATAGTCTATCACAGTCTTAACACTGTTCGGAAGTTCTAAATCTTGTCTTGAGACTCATGGCAATCTCTTAACTGTGAACCCCTTAAAAAAAAAGGAAATACATTGATCAGACACTCCAAGCACTAACACAGAATATACAATACCATTTCAAAAGGGACCATAGTAAGGAAATACTGGACCAAAGCAAGACTTAAAATCAGCTGGGCAAACTCCAAATTCTACATCTGATGTCAAAAACATCATAAGCTCTCCCAACTTCTTTCTGCTATGAAGACTGCAGCACACTTCTCTATTGGGCTGTATCCACACCCAATCTGCAGCTTTTCTTGGCAGATATCGCACAATTCTGGGATCTCCAACATCTTGGAATCTCCAAAGAAATCCAGGCTTTACCTTCACAGTTTCACACAATAGCCTCTCTATGCCTCCATAGAAGGACACCCTTGACACATGCCTGGCCTCAGCAGCTTTCCTTACCCTCTGAGGGAGATTCCACAACACCTTTTTTGTGTCATTGACTCTAAAACTGGAACCCTTGTGGCCAAAGCTGCCAAGTTCACCTTGATGGGGCTGGAATTAGGCCTCCTTGTTCATATACATTTGCATCAGCTTTTTGTTGTTTCCTTTACTGCTTAAAGTTTTCTTTGAATTCTTTTTCACAAGTTGAAACTTAACTGAGTGATGACTTGACATCACCAGTCCCTTTATTTCAATTAAGTATCAGGTTTTTCTTTAAACTTTTTATCTACTCGAGCACTGGACTTGGCTCCACTATACTTCCTTTTCTCCTCAAACTATACATTTTTGTTTTATTTTTCCCATTAATTTTGCTCCTTTTCACTTTATATCTGTGTAAGAGTGGCCACTGGCAACCATATGAGATAGTCAATATTTGGCAATTTTGAAATCTCTGCCAGTGCCATTAATCTAAATCTGTTCATTTAGCCTCAGACAGACAGCAAAATCATTATTTGCCAAAATGTCACAATGGTCTCTAGGTCACTTATTAATATTTTCCCCTCTGAAACTTCTTGAGCTAGGCTCCCACAGTTCACATCTCCCTCAGCATTCTCTTTCATTCTCCTACTAAGATGGCCCATTAAGCCCTACTTAAAGCATCTAACCATTTTTCTAGTCCAGAGTCGTCCATACTCCACCAGCAAGCAGCATGGTCAGGCCTGTCACAACAATTCCCCAATCCCTGATACTAACTTATGATTTAGTCACTGTTCTGTTCCTGTGAAGAGACACTACAACCAAAACAACTCTTCAAAAGCATTTAATTGAGGGCATGCTTACAGTTTGTGGGTTTAGTCCCATTATCATGATGGGAAGCATAGCATCCATGGTGCTGGAGAGGTAGATGAGAGGTACATCTTGAGCCACAGGCAGAGGGAGATACTGAGCTAGGCATGAGCTTTTGGAACCTCAAGGCTCTGTAACCCCAGTGATATACTTCTTCTACCATGCCACACCTCCTAATCCTTTCATATAGTGCCACTCCATGGTGAGTTAGCATTCAAATATATGAGCCTGTGGGGGCCATTATTATTCAAAACACCACACCAGATTAAAGAACTATTTTAAAAGTTGTTTGAACTATTTTAGTTAAAGTACAAAAAAGAGTTAAATCATTTTATTATTCAAAATCAACATGGAAATAGATCCATTATTATTTATGTTATAATGTAAAACATAGTTATAGCCTGTGGGATATCTGCCCCTTTGTTGATGGACTGTCACCTGCCTCTTCATATTCTTACTACATCATCTTTCTATTCCTGACAGGTATTTCTCTGTATTTCTTCCTTTCTTCCTTTCTTTCTTTCTTCTTTTTTTTTTTACATATTGATCCCAGTTCCCTCTCCCTCCCTTCCTCCCTCTCACTCCCCCTAAAACCCCCTCTCATCCCATCCTCCCCCCAACTCCACTGGGAGGGTGATGCCTTTCAGGAGGGATCATCAAAATCTGTCAAGTCATTTGGAGTAGGGACTAGGCCCTCCCTCATGCCTCTGGGTTAAGGGAGTATCCCTCCATGGGGGATGTGCCCCCAAAGTCCTTTCGTGCACCAGGGATACATCCTGGTTCCACTGTCAGAGGACCCTTAGACTGCCCTGGCTTTCTAACTGAGACCTATGTTCAGGGAGTCTGAGTCAGTCCAATGCTAATTTCCCAGCAATCAGTCTGGGGGTCTATTAGCTCCCCCTTGTTCAGGTCAGCTCTCTCTGTGGATTTCTGTAGCCTGGCCTTTTCCCCTTTTCTTATCACTTCTCCCTCTCTGCATCTGGATTCCAGTTCAGCTCAGTGTTTAGCTGTGGGTGTCTACATCTGTTTCCATCAGCTACTAGATGAGGGCTCTATGATGGCATATAAGTTAGTCATCAATCTCATTATCAGGGAAGGGCATTTATGGTAGCCTTTCCACTGTTGCTCAGATTGTTGGTTGGGGTCAGTCTTGTAGGTCTCTGTACATTTCTCTAGAGTCAGTTTTCTCTTCAAACCTAGAATGGCTCCCTCTTTTATGGTATCTCTCTCTCTCTCTCTCTCATCTGTTCCTCCCCTGACTCAATCTTCCTAGTCCCACATGCTTTCCTCTCCTCCCCTTCTCTTTCTCCTAGCTCTCTCTCTACTCACTGCCGCCCCCAACTCCCAATATGCTCAGAAGATCTTGTTCCTTTCCCCTATATCCTGTGTCTGTATTTCTTCTATACTTCCATGGTTGTAATCTGGGAAAGCAAGTAACAAGTTTGTTAAAAAGTTGATTACAATAAAATTATCTAAACTCTGGATAAGAGCCTGAGTAATTAGCTATAGTAGAAGCATAGAGGCATTTTCCTTGGGTTCTGGTGGTTTCCCAAAGGACTGGACTCACTAATCACTCTAAATACCAATAAATATGCTATAACTGCATCTTGTTCTAACTTGAGTAATATTTCTTGGTGTGTATTAAGCAGGAAGCAGTTACTATGTACTCTGTAGAGAGCTCTGAAAGACCCAAGGACTGGAGAGATAATTTGTGGATAAGAGCACTAGTTCTTGTATAGAACCTGGGTTTGGATCTTAGCACCCATATGGTAGATCAAGACCATCTATAACTCCAGTTCCAGAGGATCCAGCACCTCCATAGACACTATGCATTCATATGGTACAGAGATATACAGGCAGGCCAAAAGTTATATGAATAAAATAAAAACAAGCTTAAGAAATGCATACCACTGTTAGTATATTCAGAGTTTTATTTTTGTTTTAAGAAATGTCTAGACAACAAATGTTGGGATAATACCATCTTTTCCCCAGACACCTGCCTATCTCCTTTCTGCCTCTTTGACACTGACCATCTGTTTCATGGGATAGAGTCCTTTGAGAATAATTACCAATGTATACCTGCACTAGAGGTAGGCAGTGGTCTCATGAATGTTGCTTCCCAAGCAGAGCAGTATTCAGTTGTGTAAAGTCTATTGACTTTACTTGTGCTTACTCTGAGCATTAATTTCTCCAGTGCTCATTTAATTTCTCCATGCTTATTTTGCTAATTTAATGGCCCCTTTCTGTACTGTGTATTATTTGTTGATAATGACCTGTTGTATGCAAGGATGTATATGCTAGTGGATCTTTGGCTAAACACTGCCTTCTGCTTTTGCTAACAATATAAACTGATCTTAGACCATTGATTCTCTTTCCACTCTTACCTGTGTCAAGATTGGTACTGTATGTATTGAGGTTCTGTGGACATCAGGAATTTTGTATGCTCTTTCCTTTCTTTGTACCTATAGGTCCCAGTCATGCAGGGAGCAGGTATGCAAGGAGCAACCATGCAAGGTGCAAGCCAGCCTGGTGGATTTAGTCCTGGACAGAGCCAGGTCACACCCCAGGATCATGAGAAGGTAAGCAACACTGCCTGACTGCCTCCCTCTGCACAAATCTAGTCTTTTTAATCTTTTCACAGTTCCATGAAGATCCCATGTCTTCAAAGTCCCTTTAGAGGTTGTGTTTACTCTAACTTGGAACTCACTAATAACCTTGGCTGAACATTTTGGGGATCTGATCCTAAAGTTTTTATGTGAATATAATTGGCAACTTATTTTACATTTCAGACTCCTCTATAAATGTCAATTTTTTTCTGTGCAAGCCAGACTGACCTAAAACTCCAAGCTCCTTTCTTCCTCCCCTTTCTCGATATTTAAAAAAAAAAAAAAAAAAAAAAAAAAAAAGCAGATTCACCTCAAGTATATGTTTCTGTTGTGGGTTGGAGTTTGTGTCTGATGGGAAGGTTTAAACTTGTATAAAGGGAAAACTCAAAACAAGGTTAAAAACTTAGAGAGTTCCCAGGGCTCACAGATAACATCTTAGTATTCAGGAACTTTGAGTTCCTTAGGCATCTCTTACATCATCTAATCTAAAGTATTTTCATTTATTCTCATGCTTCATTGTGCCTTTTCTCATTGTTTTCTTTTTCTTTCTGGCTTATAGTTTGGTGCATGAGTTCGTGTGTGTGGTTGTGTGTGTGTGTGTGTGTGTGTGTGTGTGTGTGTGTGGCGAGAGAGAGAAAGAGAAGGGGGTCCTGCTTTTTCCCATTTTGCTTTGTATTCCATGAGAGTAGCTTTTTGAGCACAAGCTGCTGGTGCTTTTGTTTTATTTGATTTTCTGACTCATCATTGAAACTCACAACCTTCCTTTCCTCTGCACAGGCTGCTTTGATTATGCAGGTTCTTCAACTCACTGCAGACCAGATTGCCATGCTGCCTCCTGAGCAAAGACAGAGTATCCTAATCTTAAAGGAACAGATACAGAAATCCACTGGGGCACCTTGAAAGGTGAGCTGACTGAATGGTACCTGGGCAGAACTAGGTCCTTCTATATTTGAAGTACATAACTTCAACCTTTACCAACACAATGTTCTCTGAGGCCCCTAATTTTTACTAGGTTCTCTTTATCCTTCAGTAGTCAGAACCTCTGGGATTAGGGTAAGGCTGTAGAATATTTGTTCAGTTGTTGAATTATTTTCAGCTTTTTCTAATGATGAAATTAATATAGGGTCTCTTATGATCAGTTTTCCCGCCAGCCTGGTCCCACAGCCGTGTCAGCTCCAAATAACACACAGAGATGCTGTATTAGATGTGTAAACTGTTGGCCTGTTACTAGCATTTCTTGTTGGCTAACTCTGTCTTAAATATTAACCCATTTCTATTAATGTAAGTGTTTTCATGTGGTCTTGTCTTACCAGAAAGAAGGTCCAGACCTCTTACTCCTCTTGGTCCTACATTTTGACGCCTCCTCCTACATCTCCCAGAATCTTCCTTGTCTCCTAGTCCCACATATCTTGCCTTCCTATTTGCCAAGAGTGCTTTATTCATTAACTGATAAGAGAAATATATTTACAGAATGACATCTCCCATCATCTCCTCTTTTGTGTCTAAAATAAAAAGAAGGGTTTTAACTTTAACATAGTAAAATATATAACAAAACAGTTATCAAATAAGAACATTGTTAACAATATTTAGTTCTTTGACATTTAGAAAGATTTAAAGAAAATATTCTGTCATATATCCTATCTTTGTGAATCTAAAGTCTTAATGCAATTTATCTTTAATCCTAACTAAGGAAAACTATAACCATAACTATCTGTCTTCAACTCCACCAAAAACCATAGAGAAGGCGTTAATGCTCTGGAGTTTGCTAAGATTACTGGTCCTTTCATTATATACTCTTAATTATATATTATTTTCATTGTATATTGACCTCAGGACAAGAGTTTACAGGATTTTTATTTTAACCTCTTGAAGTGGTCATAGTTTTATAGGAAGTTGGGAAAATAGTGCAAAGCCTTCATAGTTCCCCTCAGTGATAGCATCTTACATTTTTGCTTTGTAGTATAAGGCCAGGCAGTTGTCCTTAGTATATTACTGTGAACTTGAGTACAAAGTGTATTCAGTTTTTATAACTCAATAATTTATACCAGATCATGTGAAGCCACAACTATAATTTTTTGTGCACAAACTCTACTGGTATTTATGCGTGTTTTGGCTGAAGTATTGGCTTTTCATCCTAAACTTACGGTTTTGGTCCTTTCTCCCATCACAGACAGTGTTAGTTATCACTATTGGAGATAAGTTGGATAAGTAGTTCTTGGACTGGAGAGAGAGCTCAGTTCTTGAAGTGCTTGCTACCTAAGCATGGGCACCCAAGTTCAAACCCCAGGACCCATGTGAAAAGTTTGGTACAGTCACACCCTGGTAATCTTAGATGGATAAGTGGAGACAAGAAGATTCTGGGGATTGCTGACTAGCCAGCCTAACCTTAATCTATGAGCTCCATGTCCCAGTGAGACACCCAGTCTCAAAATCCCAGGTGGATGGCCATCCTAAGGATTAAAGCTTGAGGTTGACCTCGATGTCTTGCTTCTGCACTCATGTACATATATACACATAAGAGAAAGAGAAAGGAAGGTAGTTTTGAAGTAGAGGATAGAGGAGGCTTGCTTGCCTATGGTATATTTGTCAGTTTCTATAGACATTGTATGTCGTCACAACATTGGAGAGTAGTATGACACTGTCATTTAGTGGGTAGAGATCAGAGATGCTCCTGAACATCCCATGTGATACACAGGAGATCTTCCTTACTCCTTATGAGAAACTTTGGCTGAAAATTTCCTAAGACTGAGAAACCCTTCTAAAAAGGACAATGAAAAGATATGACATGAGACTGACACTGGCTGTTTGATCTTCAGTACATTCTTCCTTCCCTTAGTCCATTTTTGTTTTTCATTTTTTATGGGGGTAGTTGTTTTTTCCTGGTGTTTAGAAAAGAGAATTCCACTTGTAATAGCTCTCTCCAAACTTTTTCCTACAGGTTCTCAGAAATACCTGGCAACAAATATGGAAATACAATTCCATGACATTGTTGAATTGTTGAAAACATGGTGACTTCTGCATCCTAACCTCCCCCTCCCCCCATGACTCAAATTGGTGCCAGGTGGAGGACTCACATCACCATTTCTCCAAATGAGAGCAGTTCATTCTGTTGTCTTAGTTTGTATATTTTCTGTGGTATTAAATAAACTTTGAACACATTTTTAACATATTGCAAATTGATATACATAAACCTTTTGCTTTTAAGAAGCTGAACACCGTGGTAAAAGCTTAGATATATTTTCTACCCTTAGCAGCACTCTCCTTTAATCTTATATTACCATAGCTCTAATCTTTCTTTAGCATAAATGTTTATTCTTCTTAATGATACTTGAGTATTTCTTGGAAGCAATGTTTTCAGGAGCTTTGTTTTTTGTTGAATTTGCGTTTAACAAGGTAATGAGATTTGCCCTTTGAAAACTTTCTAGAGTCACTCGAGTTTTCTGGGAGAAAAAGTAAGTGTTTTAAAATTATCAAATTGCCAGAAGGCCAACAAGCAAAGAGCATACCACAGTAATGTTTGGTTCAAGATAATTCAGTTCTCAAAATGTGGTGTTTGGTTAGTAGCAGGTCTGAACATGCATAGTTCAGAGTTAAGACAAAGATTGTTTTGGCACTGGTATGAGTGTGTGTGTCAATAACCTGAAAGACTATTGTAAAGCTCTTCTGTCTAGGTAGCCAACTTTACAAGTTTACAAAGCCACTAGTTTTCCACATGTTCAAATTTGATAAAGAAAAACAAGTGAACAAAATATATTTTATTTCATCTATCAGAAAATTGCAAGGCTTTCAGCTCTTTCCTTTAAATTCATTCCAACAACTTAAAATAAAAACCCTAAACTTTATTTTTTCAAGTTTTTTTTTTAAGAGGACCAAGTATACAGCACAGGAAGGCAGATTGTTATGGTGCCTGCTTTTTTTTTCCGAGTACCTCTTGCTTGGAAGGCAATTAGTGCCATTGGCCTGTGCTAACCTACCAGTCACCTTGCCTTTTGTTCTTCTCAAAGTGGCATTAAGGAGGAGCATGTTTTCTTTCTAGCTGGTTAAACTGAAGACATTAGAAGTATCCTTAATAACTAGTAAAGTTTACTAGAACTAATTGTAAACTTATTTATATTCTCAGAACCCTACCCTCTGTGTTAGGATTATGGGCAGGTGAATTAAAATCATTACTTAGGCATATAAAATAAAATAACATTGCTTACATGTCAAACAAAAGAATGCTAAGATATTAAATTGAGGCATTTTCTCCATATATTTACAGTGAAAAATTGCTGGATATGTCATACTATAACCTATCAAGAAAAGTGCAAAACAGCAAGCACTCTCAGCCTATTCCATTTATCCCAAGTTCAACTAGTATGTTAATTATGCATGCAGTTCATTGTTTTCATTACCTTCTGTGCCTCCTGCATAAATGATCAGTCAATGATGTGATGAGTTTAGCATCTGGCATGACTTAAAAGTGCCAATATATTTAGACAGAGAGACCATGAGGAAAGTGTTTCTAGTTAGAAACTTGGGTTTTACACAACCAATTCCCAATCAAGATTATTGAGGCTGAAGTTATTTGGTAAGCAGTTGTTTAATAGAAACCATATCCTGGAAATCCCAAAGCCTCATTAAACTTAATGTTGGTTAGCAGATACTCAGGTGAATAAATTGACAAGAGCAGTGGCATCCTAATTCATCTCCATGGAAGCACTCATCAATGTTTTTACTGGTGCAACAGTACCATTAGCTACCCCAAGTTTATGACCTGTCTTTACTTTGTTCAGACTAGTGACTGAAAAATGATCCTGCTAATCCTTCAAGCTATAGGCTCCTAAATAATTGGAAAGGTAAATTTGTTCACTCTTGATCAAGAAAATAGTTGGTCTACTTTCTGCTAAATCTATGAGTTCAGCAGTCTGAATACAATGAAGTGTGAGGTTTTCCTCCCTATGAGGAGCCTAGGGCTTCTTTTTTGTGATTCACCATGACTGACATCCCGGAGCCAGTGTGGTTATTGTCCTGGTTGATAGGAAAAAGAATGACATTTAGTGAATGATCCCTCAGTAAGAAAGGCCTGGAGAATAGTCAAAATTATAAATTCTTTATTGTCTTTTCATACCAAACATTCATTTAAAAAAAAAACAAAACCCTTTAACAAAAATAGTAGAAAGCTTGCTGTTGAATTAATTTTTCCCATGATGTAGGCTGGGCCTTCCCAGTTATTTCAAATAATACAAAATGGCAATATAGTTGGCTTCTAATTATAATGCAAATTTGATTACAGTCAATGTACTTCAGATGGAAAGCTTAGAGAAAGTAAGCAGAATTGTTCCATAAGCAAAGTTGAAAGCCTTTCAAATTTTTTTGACAAAACAACGTGTAAACTGTTTGTCACACTGGATAAGATTGTGTTTAACAATGTACCTAGTGAGTATGATATGGGAGTGGGAATTTTGGTAATTCTATGTTTATTTATGATTATTGTTTTGTCATGGATTCAATAAATATTTTAAAAGTCACCCTACTTAGAAATCTTCTGTGAAGGACAAGTGGAAGGGGAGATTATGAACCAAAGTTCAGGAATCAAGCAAGACATCAGAGGTTAAATTGTGCAAGTGTCAACAGCAAAGCTCAGCTGAAGTCAGATGTCCTAGGATCTACAATCATCCCCACAAAAACCAGTTCTTGTGCTTTGCAAGTACTGTGACATATGGAGCTCTTGGGTTGGCGAAGCTCAAGTATGATGAAGTTGAATGCAAACGTTTGTAAAAGTGGGAAGTGAAGTCCTTGTGAGGTACAGTATCATCTAGTAGCTGACCCAAAAATTGGTAAAGTGAAAAGAAAAGTGTGCTGCTTTCTACATTTCAGAAAGTTTCTTTGTTGAAGTAGAATTGAACCTTCCTAGGATCCAGACTTGAGTATCGCTGACAACATTTTTGCAGGCTCTTCGCCAAAGTCTGAGGGCCACATAAGAAAACCCCCACCACAGACCTGTAGGAATAGAGCAATAGGCATTACCTGGATGTAACAAAAGCTGAAAATAGTAATGAAAATGGACAACAGCCTCTGCTACTCCCAACATAGTCAAACAAAAATTCCGTTGTCTCACAGACACAACTACCTGTTGTGTATAACTGAGTCCACCATTCCATCCTTTGCTGGGGTTCACACGGCCCTATTACTCCGAGGGAAAGAGTTATTTTCACCGCTTTCTTCAGTATCTTAGCCACTGGTAACTTGCCAATGCTGGAAGCAGCCCTAATTAAGCTCACTAGGTCACCAAAAAGGGAGGGGGAAAATCATGAAAGTGGAAGAGGGATGAGTTAAGAAATTAGCGGGAGTGGGAGAGGCACAAGAAAAAGAGGGTCATAGGTAAATAAGATCAAAATCCAAATGGCCAGCCCTGAAATCATTGAAGAAGCAACCATGAACTTGGGAGAGCAAGGGGATACTGGAAGGAGTTGAGGAAATAGTGTAATTATATTTTAATTTAAAAAATGAAAAAGATTAAAAATGCATTATATACATTATGAAAATACAATGAAACCCATTGTATTTAATATGTTCTGATAAAAACTTAAATTCAGTTGTTGAATTCCTACTACCAAGAATTTTTTTTAACCTTTTTTTGTTTCCAAGTCTTAAATATGTTCTCAGCCTTCCCCCATTTTATTGAAAACAGAGACACAAGAGGTGTTTAACCTGTGTTAAACGTTAGTCTTTGTGGCAGGGTAAGATAAAAAGGAGAAATTAAGGAGAAATGAGCATGGAGAGAGGGCCCTCTCCCTGAGATCTAGTTTGCTAGTGAAGAAACTTCAACCTAGATAAAAAAGCCAAAATGGATCTACAGAGATAATGCAAGTTTTTACTAAAGACATGTCAAACAAGAATGTTAAAGTGATGAACTATGCTTATTCAGGGTTAAAGTGTTTGTCACCTTGCCTTTACCCATATAAGCTTCCCTATCTCATATTTCACAGAGGCACTTGACAGCATTGTCACAAAAGAACACTTAAGAAAAATAAGAAACTCTGGTTTTTATCCAATTTTTAAACTTCCCCTAAATTTTGAGCTTTGTTTAATCATTAAACCATGTCAATTATACCCCTTAGGGAATGCATACCCAAGGACATGATTATACATAGTCATTGCCAATGTACGTAGATGCATCTTTATTGAGAAGCCTGCATCCATGTCTTGGAATTGTATACCGTCATTGTCCTATATGATTCTCATTTAAATACTTAAACTCATGGACTTGTTTCACTTTTATTGGCCTTCAAATTGTTTTCTGCCAAATAATCAAGGATTTGGCTTTTCCTGAATGGAAGTCCCAAAGGGGAAAGGGTTGGGCCTTCTCAGCCACTTTGGGCAGCCACTTTAAATTATGTCACTTTAAACACATTTTTAACCTCTTTCCTTTTTGAGAATTGGAATACAAATAGCACCTGCCTTACAGGGCTGCTCTGAGAATTAAAAACACATAGAACAAATGGAAAAGTACCTGCTCTACAGCAAGTGCATATGAATTAACTGCTATATAACCCATCTTTGTGAACGTATCCCCTTCCCCCAACTTTACTGTGCCCTTGAAGGTGGCATTCTGCCAAAGCCAACCTTTCTAATTATGCTATGGATTTCAACTTCTCCCATCTCTCTCTCTCTCTCTCCCTCTCCCTCTCTCTCTTTCTCTCATTTGTTTGTTTGTGTGTGTGTGTGTGTGTGTGTGTGTGTGTGTGTGTGTGTGTGTGTGTGTATGTTTAGACAGGGTTTCTCTGTTGCTTTGTAGACCTGGCTGGCCTCAAACTCAGAGATCCTCCTGTCTTTGCCTTCTGCCTCCTGAGTTCTGGGATTAAAGGCATATGCCACCACTGCCTGGCTTCTCCTTCTCTTTTTAAGTCTAATTATGGTATAATACATGTACTATAAAGTACACCCTTTGAACTGTAAAATTAGTGGTTTTTAGTGTAACCACAAAGTAATGCAGCCATCATCACTAATTCCATCCCCCTTGTCTACTTTTGAACTTACTGGTTTCCTCCCAGCCATACCACCCTACCCTACACTGACAACACTTTCTCTGCATACAGACTCATGCCATAAATGACCTGTGCTTTCTAATAATGTTCATTTTTTAAAAAAATATTGTGTATGTGGGGGGCATGTGCATGTACATGTGTCTGCAGAGTCTCATAGAGGGTATCAGATTCCCTGGAGCTGGAGTTACAGGAAGTTGTGAACCACCTTTTCTGGGTGATGGGAACTGAACTCAGGTCCTTTGCAAGAAGAGCAAACCATCTTCATCACCGAGGTATGTCTCTAACCCCGTCTTGTTCCTCTTAATCAGGATAGTGTCTTCAAAGTTAAGCCAGGGTATTGTATATGTCAGTACTTCTTTCCTCTTTATAAATGAATAAAATTCCATTCTCTACATATAACACATCTGGTGATAGGAAGTTGGGTTGTTTTCACTTTGGGCTATTGTGAATAATGCTGCTATGTACATGTATGTACAAATTTTTTGTGTGCAGTCATGTCATTTCTCTTGTATAAATACCAAGGAGTGGGATTTCTGAGTCATCTAGGTCTGTGTCTAACAATTTGAAGGACTGTTGTTTCCTCCAGGTGTCCTAATCTCACATCCCTATAATCAATATTAGGAAGAGTCCTAATTCTCCAGTTCCTTGCCAACATTTGCTATTGTTCATTTTTGCTATGGCCATTTTGTTCCTCTCTCATACCTACTGGGTAGTGTCCTGTCTCTAAAATACACTCAGTTCATCCTTATACTGAAAGTAAGCCCTTCTTGAGTCTGCCATTCCAACACCCGTGCCCTTGCTGCTGTAGTATTTCTTTTGTCTTCCAGGACAACCACTTCTCTTCATCTTGAGCCTTTATCCCCAATTTATTTCTTCCTCCCCACATCCTGAAGGCAGTCCTTTAAACTATTCTTTCTCAAAGGGCATTGTGATGGGGTATATCTCCAGGAAGAAAGAAATCAAGACCATGACCCTTATTTTACTAAAAACCCAGATGAAATTTCCTCAGGCTGAAAGTTTTCTATTAAAATTATTTTTTTAGTGTGTGTTTGGGGGTGTTCAGTCAGAGCTCAAAAGTGGGCACAGTGCCATGGTTGAAGTGTGGAGGTTAGAAGACAACATGGGAGAGTTTGTTCTCTCCTACCATGTGGGGTCTCAAGAATCATCAACTTGGATCATCAGGTCTTGGTGCTAAATGCCTTACCTGATAATTTATCTCACTGGCCCTTTCTGTTGCAGAGATCTTCCCAGGTGTGCTCAGTATACTTAAATTCCAACTCTGTAGATTCAGTTAACTAGAGGGCAAGGTACGTACTTGGGGTGAGCAGCAGCTATTCTGGAAAACTCATTGTCCCACATTGGTCTCCCAAAGGAGGTTTTCTGTCTCAGACCTGTCAGGATGTCGGTAGCTTTGTCAAAATTTAATGCTGCATGACCAGCCTGGAACCAGAGAAATATAAAAATTACAAAAACCAAGTTTGACAGCTGCCTCTTCCTTCAGCCATTTTGAAACCTGTGGTGTGAGGATGAGGCCAGGTATGAGATGATAAGGAATACTTATTTTGGTACTCATGCACTATATTTTGTCTTAACATTTGATATTGGAATCAGTGTTTTATTTGAACTCACAATGTTGCTATCCCAGCCAGTGAGAAAAAGACGATAATTTAGGAAATCCATTTTGCCTAATTCCTCCATCTCTTGTTCGAGGGAATTCAATAAGTTGTTGAACCAGGCAAAAGCACCTGTCTCTCTGCAGATCCAGTAGAAATAGATCTGAAATCAGCAAAACAGTAAACATAGACAAACATAGGCCAAGTCTAAGTGTAATGAATCACATTTATAGAGGGGAAGCCTTAGTTTGAATGTCCAGAGTCCTGACACATTTCTATTATAGAAGAAACCTTCAAAGGTCATCTTTGCTACAAGGAAATCATTAGACTAAACAAAATAAAGCACACTCAGAAAGCCAGATATTGTTGAGTTTTGTCTCATATGAGAAACAAGAAAATAGAATGAGGATGATTTGAGGAAAAGGGGAGAGCTACCAGGAGAGGGACTCAAGAAGTTGAAGGGGGTGGGTAAATATAGTCAGAGTAAATGATTTACTTTAATGGAAATGTCATTGTGAAATAATACTATGTATAATGAATTTAAACTTTAAAATGAAAAAATTAAAATAAAAGGTTCAAATAAATAAGAATAAAACTGCAAATTAAAAAGAATTCTGCATTTATATGATCAGTACTTTAGAAGGAACACTGACAGAGAAGCCATCACTCATGGGTCTTTTGGGGATTGTTGTTTTGTTTTTAGTATGAAATGTGAGTTCCTTTATCTTTTTATCATAGGCCTTAAAAAGTGTTCTGTACAAAGCCAGGTGGTGGTGATACGCTCCTTTAATCCCAGCACTCAGGAGGCAGAGGCAGGCAGATCCTGAGATCAAGGCCAGCCTGATCTACATACATAGTGAGTTCCAGGACAGCCAGGGCTATACAGAGAAACCCTGTCCCCAAAACAAAACAAACAAAAAATAATATGTCTGGATTATAAAATGCTGTTTTTAAAATGAGTTAATAGGAACAACCTCCTGCAAGCAGAAATACCTTTCATTTGAAGGATTAAAACACTGTAGAGCTGAAAGAGAACCCACCAGACAGAGTATTTCTCTTTTACAGCCTCTGAACTGACAAGATACAGACTAGACTCCAGCAGCCTAGATTGTGCAGCCCCTTTGCTGTGGTTCAGAGATCAAGGTGGATCAACTGCCTAGGCAACCCCTGCTAGCACCCCCTAGAAGCCACCTGTGCCCCCTCCCCCTTATTAAGAGTAAGATCTCAGGCTATGATGGCCTTCGCTGTCACGGCTAGGTCAAGGAGGAAATGACATGGGAATGTACCTTTTGGGTTTTGAGCTTGTTGTCTGCACGCTGGAATTTGTACCAGATTGATTTCAAGATGGAAGCAAAGGGAGTGACCCCAATCCCTGCCCCAACCAGTACAGCCACTTCATACTGGAAAACATCCTCACTCACTGTGCCAAAGGGACCGTCCACCTCAATCCTACCAAATGAGAGAAGACAACAGATGCATGAAGTCTCATCTCTGTCCTTAGTGCCTCAATCGTCCTCCTAAAAACTACTGCTCCCCAGTACTACCTGCCCACTTTTGCTTGCTTCCTTTTTTTCTTTTTTGTTTTTTTCAATCCAGGGTCTCTCTGTGTAGCCCTGGTTTTCTGGGAACTCACTCTGTAGACCAGTCTGGCCTCAAACTCACAGAGATTCTGCCTCTGCCTCAAGTGCTAGGATTAAAGGTGTGTGCTGGGATTAAACGTGTGTACCATCACTGCCCAGCATGCTCACTCATTTTAATCAGATGACCTCTTACCCAATTTGTGCTTCAAACTGGAATGTTTTCTACATTCTGTTTTGAGTCTCTGAAGGTCTCCAGTACCTACCTGGGCATTGGTGAGTGCTGTTGTTCAAATGTCCTTATGAGATTTTCTGTCCAGTCCCCTGCCGCTCGGATATGAATGGAGAAGAATTCTTCCTCTGGAGCAGAGGTCAGAGTGAATGGATGCCATTCCAGGAAGGAAATTGAGGGGCAATTTACAAATATATACTGTCCCACTTCCATGCTAAAGCCACGCTTTCGCATCTGCAATTCCAACACTTTAGATGGGTGCATGACAACCTGTGAATGAAGCACATAGATCATTCAAGGCAAACTCCAAACATGGCAAGGGCAGATATTTAAATGAACGAGTAAAGCCTGAGTGCTCCTGACTTCTAAAGTACGTGGTTAAGTCCCCTCTAAAAGAGAGTATCCACTTTCCTACGTGTCTTTCAGCCTTTCAAAACACCTCTGAGATGCCATCTTACTCCTGCCAGAATGGCTAAAATTAGAAACACCAATGACAACTTATTCTGGAGAGGATGTGGAGAAAGGGGAACACTCCTCCACTGCTGGTAGGAGTGCAAACTCGTACAGCCATTTTGGAGATCAGTTTGGCGGTTCCTCAGGAAAATGGGAATCATTCTACCTCAAAATCCAGTAATTCCACTCTTAGGCATATAACCAAATGATCCACATCCATGCAACAAAGACATCTGTTCAACTATGTTCATAGCAGCATTATTTGTAATAGCAAGAACCTGGAAGCAACCTAGATGCTCCTCAACTGAATAATGGATAAAGAAGATGTGGCACATTTACACAATGGAATACTAGTCTGTGGGGGAAAAAAACAATGGAATCTTGAAATTCCCGGCAAATGAATGGAACTTGAAGAAACCATCCTGAATGAGGTAACCCAGTCACAAAAAGAAGAACATGGTATGTACTCGCTCATATATGGATTTTAGACATAGAGCAAAGGATCACCAGCCTATAATTCACACTGCCAGAGAAACTAGGATACAAGGAGGAACCTAAGAGTTTCATACAAGGTCCCTCACAGAAGGGGAAAGGAACACAATCTCCTGAGCATATTGGGAGTGGGGTGGCAGTGAGTTGAGAAGGAACTAGGAGAAAGAGAAGGGGAGGACAGGAAAGCATGTGGGGCTAGGAAGAGAGAGAGAGAGAGAGAATAAAAGAGGGAGCCATTCTAGGTTTGAAGAGAAAACTGACTCTAGAGAAATGTCCAGAGACCTACAAGCCTGACCCCAACCAACAATTTGAGCAACAGTGGAAAGGCTACCATAAATGCCCTTCCCTGATAATGAGATTGATGACTAACTTATCCAACCAACATCATAGAGCCCTCATCTAGTAGCTGATGGAAACAGAAGTAGACACCCACAGTAAACACTGTGCTGAACTGGAATCCAGATGCAGAGAGGTAGGACAAGACCAGGCTACAGAAACCCATAGAGACAGCTGACATGAACAAGGAGGAGCCAATGGGCCCCCAGACTGAGAGCTTGGGAATCCAGCATGGGACCCACTCAGACCCCCTGAACATGGGTCTCAGCTAGAAGGACTGAGCAGTCTAAGGGACCTCAGACAGTGGAACCAGGATGTATCCCTGGTGCATGAAAGGGCTTTGGGAGCACATTCCCCATGGAGGGATACTCTCTTAGCCTAGAGGCAGGAGGGAGGGCCTAGTCCCTACTCCAAATGACTTGACAGATTTAGATGATCCCTCCTGGAGGGCATCACCCTCCCTGTGGAGTGTGTGGGGGGGCAAATGGTATGGAAGAGTGGTCGGGGGTTGGGATGGGAGGGAGGGAGAGAGAGGGAACTTGGATTGACATGTAAAATAAAAAAAAACATAAAAAAAAAAATTAAAAAAAATGAGAGCAGCCATTGCTTAGCTTCAGACAGTGATTGCAATGTGGAACTGAGATTCTATGCTGTCAGGGCTCCTGGAACTTCCAGAGAAGGACAACAATGGCTTTAATATTATTATATTTCAGTTCTCATACAAAATAATGGATTTCATTTATACCACTGTGATACATATGTGTATATATACTGTACCTTGCTCGTGTTTGCTCCATGCTTCCCACCAAAAAGTCACCATTATGCTTTGAAGTCACAATCTCTTCATCCCCCACATAGTTTTCTTTGCTTTCATAATCTATATACATTTATATTTAATTCATATTTAAATATATATTCCAAATAATGAGAGCAAACATGCCATTTCTTTGCCTTTCAGGCTCATTTCACTTAACACAATAATCTCTGGTTCCATCTATTTCTCTATAAATGTCTTAATTTTAGTCTTCTTTATAACTTCATAAAATCCCATTTTTAAACTATTATTTTTATGTATGCCCCACAGGGATGCAGTGCTCATGGAAGCCAGAAGCGGGCATCAGATCCCCTGCGGCTGCAGTTTCAGGAAGTTGTGAGCATCCATGTGACAGCTGGGAACAGAACAAGAGCAGCAAGTGCTCTTAATCACTCAGGCATCTCCCCAGTCCCCAAGAAATGTCGTTTTAAAGGAGAAATTTATATCCTGTCCCTTAAAATGTTGCTAACCAGTTCTTTAGTTTAATTTAGATCACAAGAACAATTCCTGGGCCTTGAGCAAAGTAAAACAGTACCCCACCACGGAGCCTCACCCTCAGTCCCAGTTCACCCTTTGAATTCACCATGTAGACAAAACAAAATACATGTGTGGGCAAGCTCTGGTTCACACCCCATTTGTACCCTCTGATGTAGACCAATGTTAATGGTTTGAGCCAAATCCCTACTCCCAAAGTTTTGTTCAGCACGGGGGATACTAAGCATGTTCCCTCCCCCAAACTCATTTTTATGCCTTTAGGATGAACACCATGACAACTTAGTTCTGCACTCAGGTAGCACAGAGCTTTTATCTTTGCCGTGGAAAGTGTATATTTCTTTACCTTAGTAATCACAACCTTCTGTTGGGAGCGATAAAAGCGAAGGGTCCTTTCAAAGATGTATAGAGTGATTGGTGCAAGGATCCACTTCCAAGACTGCACAAAGACAAGGTAAACAATGAAATTACCCTTCCACCTCTCATTTAGGACTTATTTGTGTAGCATTTTATTTCTCCATTTAATGCAAGTGTATCAAATTCTCTACTGTGTAGCATTATCAACTCACTTATTTTCAGTAACGTTTAGAATGGAAACAAACAGAAAACAATAGTTTTGCTTGGCAGTCTGTCATTAATAAAATAGATCATTCCCTGAAATTTACAGATCACATTAGGAAGCAAATGCAAATGGCAAAAATAAAGCATAAGGGTGCAATATGTATGTGTGTGTTTTAAATTATATTTCAAATTTTAAAATGTGAAAATCTAAGAAAATGTGTCCGTAATGAAAAAAGCAAATGTACAATAAAGTAAATGATTAAATGCAAAACTAGCAAAAAAACAATGGGGGAATAAAGTATATGAATGATGCTACTGGTGACACTATACCACAAAACACCAAAAGTAAGCAGACTTTTAAAAACACAATATCACTATAGTCTGTGATATTGGAAATCAACTTTAGCAATAATGTCCAGAATTAACTAGGATTTTGAGCAATCATATATTCAAATATGTAACTAAAGGATGTTGACAGCATCTTCCTAGAGGACAATTTGCCAGCACACTTCAACAGTATCAAAGCATTCCCTCTCTTTGATCCTAGAATTTACTTCTAGAAAATATAGATTGAAATAAAAATAATGAGGGTACACATAAAGCCCGTGGCAACTATATTGACCAAAATATTTACTAAAAAATGACAAAATGGCATATGCAGATTTTTATAAGATATCAAGAAATTTATTTTAATACAATTCTTTGATATACATATAATTTCGACACTTATGAAAGATTAAAACAAATTTTCATATTAATAAGATGGATATGCTGTTTATTTTACAAGAAGAATTAAATATTTTTTATTTACATATGGATGCTTTAAAAACAACTTTTAAAGGAATATTTGAGAATAAGGAAAAACTCTATAGCATCAATTGGATTACTTCCAGTTGTAGAAATATATGAATTTTTAATTCACTTCTATTTTTACATTTTTATACTATCTTCAATAAATGTTAAAAAAATAAAAGTATGTTATTTCTCTAATTTTTAAATGGTAGATATGTTAAGAATATCTTTTTATAGCCAGGTGTGTCTATAATTTCAGCATTCAAGAGGCAGAGGAAACAGGAGATCTATGAGTCTGAGGCCAGCCTGATCTACAGAGTGAGTTCCAAGATAGCCAGAGCTATTACACAGAGAAACCCTGTCTTCAAAAAAAAAGAGAGATATCTCAGTCGTTAAAGAGCACTGGCTGCTCTTCCAGAGGACCCAGGTTCAATTCCTAGCATCAACATGACAGCTCACAACTGTCTGTAACTCCAGTTCCAGGGGATCTGACACCTTCACACCAACGTATATAAAATAAAATTTAAAAAAAAGAAAGAAAGAAAGAAAAGAATGAAAGAAAGAGTATCTTTGTGGAAGAAACAAAGCAATATATTTGGATAGCAAAACTGGTATCCTCACTCAGGCTATTTCATGGACAATCAAAGTAACTCCTAAATTTAAGTACACTTCAAAATAGGCCAAACTAATGTGTGTCCAGTATTATATGGAGAAAGTACACAGATGAGCAATATCCTTACCTGGATCCCATAAAGAGCAGGACATTTAACAGATGTGGGCCTACCACTGACCTGTCATCTGACCATTTCATATGTGTTTCAAAGGACTGAAAAGGTAAAGAACCACCAACCATCTCAGAGACTTCAACTCAGTTAAGTCCCCACAGTTAATAGGATCCACTCTAAACCCATCCATTTGTACTCCACCCATTCGTCTGTCTAGGTCTGATCATGCACTTGACCTCCACAGCCCCTGTGGTCCTGCACCTCTCCCCTGTAGATAGACACAATGCTCAGTTATGATGCTGTACCTTTGCTTGAGCTATCTTCAACAGCTCTCCCACAGAATTTATTAGCTGACTCCCATAGAGATTGTCTTTGCAGGAATATCATCAGCCTATGTCTCTATTTCCAGTAAAGTCACCTTGCTGTGGCCTCTCTACTTCTTTATAACCATTCCATAACTATATAGATAGATGGTAGATAGTTTTTTTAAAGATATTTTTAAATTACTTGACATATTAGTAAGGACCCAAAAGGCTCATAACAGAATGCATTGTCCAGGTTGTGGAGAAATACTGCTATGCACCACTGGTAAGAATATACACATTTCTAAATACTTGTAGAGTGTGATTAGGCAGTATTTGACAGACCTGAAAATTCTGATTCTGGGAGTTTATTCCATAAATTTACTTGTTTATATGTTTAACTATATGTATTAGGCTGTTAATTACATCATTACTTGATATAACCAAATATCAGAAACAAGTGTCCAGCAGTAGTACTAATTCATACAGTAAGATTTTCAGTGATGGTAAAAAGAAAGAGGCATCTGATAGAGACTTGGGATGAGTGCACTCTATCAGAACCACAGATGGATACATGTGTGCTTATCTACAATGTCAGAATTTATTAAATAGCAATAAATTCATAAGCTACTGAATAAGGTTGTGATTTGTAGAGTAGTTCTGATTTCCCTTGATACCAGGCTATTGGCAAACACCGGTTCATATATTCCCATCTTAGTTATTAATATTTATTCTTAGATAGCTAGAATATTACACATCACATAGTCTATGCATATTATTTAAAGATTTAAGCATCCTCAGAGTACTTTGAGGCATCACAAGTTTTCTTCTAGTTCCATTGATTCCTCAATGTAGCAAATGTTAGGAGCAAGCTAAGGTAAACTATATCTATGATAATTATCAGAGGATATGCATTTAATTCCCCAGGTTTATTCATTCATTCACTCATTTATCTATTTACTTTTGGTTTTTGAGGCAGAGTTTCTCTGTGTAGCTTTAGCACCTGTCATAGAACTCTCTTTGTAGACCAGGCTGGCCTCAAACTCATTGAGATCTGCCTGCCTCTGCCTCCCCAGTGCTAGGATCAAAGGCGTGCACTACAACCTCCCAGCTATTTATGTGTTTTTATTTACTTATAAAACCTAGACTTGAATGAAAGCTCTATTAATTACTGATTAATTACTGATTAATTCACTTCATCTAACAGAATCATTCTGTCCCATGGAGATGAAAGAATTGCTTGCCTCAGACATCATCAATCTCAAAGCAGCAACACTGGACATGGTGAATATTATCAATAAATTTACTTCTATAGGGAGGACACATAGCATGGAGCAACCATTTATTGCTACATGCTGTACCAATTTCTTTCTTTATCAAGAGCCCTACAACTGCCTGTTGCAGATGACTTTTGTGGAAGTTTGTAGATCTTCATAAAAGGAACCAACAGTGAGTGAACAATAATGATAATAGTAACAAGGGTAACAGTAAAACAAGAGTCACTTGTTCTCCTGTGGCATTCTTACCTCAGGGGGGTGCCCCACAAAATGAGGGCGTGTACAACTCCACTCATACTTATCCCACTCAAGAAACGAACTTGAACAATTGTAGGGATGGCTTTCACTAATGCTCTCCTCTGTTTGACCACGGACAATACCACTGAAACATAGTAAGTAGGGCAGTTCATGATAATGAACGATCCAAGATCAGGGGTTGGGATATGAGAATGGGATGTGAAGACATTACTTACCCCAGGCCGTGGATCCCTAAGCATATGATATAGACAATAAAAAGGTGATGTGTATACCAGAAGAGCTCAAAGTAATTCCTACGGATAAACTCCACAGCTGAAGTTACCATGAGAACCAACGCTATTGTGGCAATCACTCCAGTAAGGCCAGCAACACTGGTAAATGTTGCATACAACACTGTCTGTGAAAGGAGAAATGTCAGCCTGACACAAAATCTGCCAAGAATACCATGATCTCTCTAGTCATGGTTTCCCGCTGAATCAGCTCACCGTGTTTGGAGACTGGATGGGATTTAGCCAAGAATCCCCTTCTTTCTCATGATGAGATAGGCTGGAGAGAACAGAGGCAAGAGATCCATCCATAGCCTGCTGGCTTCTACTGTAGCGTTCAAAGTTAAATAGGTGTGCAATGACATGAATAGCTAAGTGGAAAGATGGGTGGTATCAGGAACATTATGGCAAACATACCCCCACTAAAATAAGAGATCCCCACCTATCGTGCCTAACAGAATGCAGAGTCCACAGTATATAACCAACACAAAAAGACCCAAGTCCCTCACCCCCAACCCATTCAGTTCCCAAAGGGATAGATGATATACTCTATGAATATGGGTCTAAAATTTGTCTCATAAAGAGTTCCAGGTGCTCATGAAATACTTTTTAAAGTTTATATGCACAGGCAAATGACATTGCACCTGAATTGCCTGTTGTCCATGGTTGCTTGCTTTGCCCGAGCTACCTGTGAATATGCAGATCATATATGCCACCAGCTTATGGAAGATGAGGTTGTGATCCAATGGCTTTCTCAGTGTGCGGTTGCAAAACTACAAATGCAAAGTCATCCTGATCAGGTTTCACCAGCCAGTTTTATGAAATTCACTAGTTCCCACGAACATGCCTGCCTAGCCACAGCATGCCAATACAATACCCAACTATCATCATCCACCAAAGGAGACCTCTGGATTCCATTCCTAGGGACTTGGTACTGAGCTGTCCAGGGACTCTTTATTTAATGTGAAAGCTGAACTAAGCACAGCTGGAACTCACTGAGCAGGTGCCCCTCAGGAAGGACAGCAGATTGCGACACACAGGAATCAGGATCATCATGCTGTTAAAATTCAAGCACAAAGCAGAGGCTCGGGCAAAGGCCAAGGCAGTCTGGAACACAGGAGAAAAGAGAGACTGCTACTTTATCCCAGCATCCAGCAGGTTAGGACTAGTCCAGTCCACTTTTATAGGATGAGCCAATAGACACTGGGGCAGCTTCCTGCCTCTCTCAGTAACCAGCATACCAGGCCAGTCTCTCTGCCAAAGAGAGAAAATGAGCTGAACTCACTTATTGAAACTGAGAAATTCCCATGACAGTGGTATGAAAACGATAGGTGATATATTTACAAATATGAACAAAACACTATTCAGTAATTCCACATCAGCATGTAGAATCTATGGAAGCAATTTTTGCAGTGGATATTTTTATTTCATGCATTTAATTATAATTTTATTGTTTGCCCTTTGTAAAATAGCCTTGGAGATTACATATGCATTTATATATTTTTAAATAAAGTTTATATTTAATGATATAATTATGGATAACTATTTTATTCTCTTTTCTACATTTTCTAATGTTGAAATTTTAAGAAAGCAATACTTATTTAGAAAACACAATTTTAACGAGTTGTATAAGCCATCTTTAAAATGGAACCCTTGGAGCAATATTATCAAATATAGCTAGAAATACGAGGGAGAACCTTTCTTTGGTGCTGGGCTTGTTCAGTGCTTTTGCATGCTAAGTAAGCACTCTTCCCTGAGAAGGTGTAATTTGTAAGTGCAAAACTTCAGGATGATGTCCTTGAGTAACCAGGGAGCATAAAGCAAGAACAGTAAAAAAGGTATAGACTGCGCATGGCAGATAAACTCAACCTCTCAACTCTGTACAACTGGTCTCCAAGTTGCTTCATGATTTTTGAACTTCTATGAATTATGAAAATCTTACAGTAGTAATTGGCTGGGGGAACAGCCAGGCGATTTTTCACTGTAATTCAGGTAATTGGTGAGTCTTATATGTGTACCTTTAAACAGCTAAAAAGACAAGTATGGGTGAGAATTCACAATTTCTTAATCTTTTAAAATAGTTAAGTCATACCTGTCACACTCATGGATTGGGAAAATAAATATTATTAAAAATGGCCTACAGATTCAATGCAATTCCCCTCACAGTTCCAATGACATTCTTTACAGAAATAGAAAAAAACAATTTAAAATTCATATGGAAGTACAAAAGGACTCTGAATAGCCAAAGAAATCCTTAGCAGAAGGAATAATGCTATAGGAATGACAAAACTTGGTCTCAAATTATACTACAGAACCATAACAACAAAATGCCATAGTACTATCACAAAAATGCATATAAAGGGATGGGGTGATAGTGAAGAGCAGGTAAGAACGTTGTTATGTTAGCATGAAGGCTAGAATTCTAACCCCTAGCACCCATGTAGAGAGCCAGGCATGACAACTCTTGTAACTACAATGCTTGAGGAGTGAGGGTAGAGACAGAAGGATCATTGGGTAATGTGGAGAGTGATAGAGCAGAAGACCTAACAGTTCCTGGCTTTTGAAGAGAAATACTGACATCTATACACACAGATGCATGTATACCACACACACATAAATAATTTTACAAAACCACTATATAGTCTGATGTAGTAGAAAAGAGGACCCAGAAATAAACTCATATACCTACCCCCACCTATTATTTGACAACAGTATCAAAAACACATATTGGGGAAAAGCCAGCCCAATGGTACTGGAAACCCTGGATACATACCTGTTCAAGGTAGAAACTAAATACATATAAGTTACTCTATACAGAAATATCAATTCAAAACGAATTAGAGACCTAACTTTAAGGCCTCAAACTCTGAATGTGGAAAAGACATAGGAAGACACTTCCAGATACAAACATGGGCTTTCTGCAAAAGATTCCAATAACCCAGGCTATAAACCCAACAACTGAAAAGTGGAATTAGACGAAATTAAAAGGTTTCTCAGAGGCTAGTGGAATGGCTCAGCTAGTAAAGGTGCTTGCTGTCAATCTAAGTTCAATTCTGAGGACTCTCATGGTGGAATGAGAGAAATGACTCCCAATATGCACATGTCTCTCTGTGTGTATCTGTCTATGTCTGTGTATGCATGCCATGAAAGTGGAAACAGGACCATGGGAGAGGTAGAATGAGAAAAAAATGAGATAGTAATGGATTACAGGTGACATGAAGAGGAAACATTTCAAAAGGGGGAAACAGCAAGATGGGCATAGAGGAAACGGGGGAAGGCTCTGCAGGAGGAAGGCAAATAAGAACAAAGTAAATTGACATCTGTTTATGAAAATTCCATAATGGAAAGTCTTTACTTCTTTATATGTTTACTTGGAAAGGGAAGGAAGGCAGGGAAGGACAGAGGGATGGAGGGACGGATGCAGGGAGGAAGAAAGGTAGTCAACCATCAAACAAAAAAGTAAAGAAAGAAAGAAAAGAAAATAAGGAGAAGAAATGTTTTTCTGTACAACCTAAACCCAGGACAGTGTGACCTTAATGAAGCAAGCCAGATCAAGATCGCCTAGTGTTCATGCTGGCTTTCAATGCAGGCAGCGCAGTGAACAAGAGCTGCCCTATTGCTTTATATTTCAGACTCTTCACATGACCCATGTTTTCTCCTCTTGCTGAGTCATACTCTGGCTGTTTTTGGTAGAGACAGCCTGTTCCATTGCAGACAAAATTTTCTCTGCTCATGACAAACATCTTAGTCTCCACACTGGCTCCCACAGTGTTCTTATTTAAGTCAGTGAGGAGTCTTGAAACTAAAATTGGCAAGCAAATTGAAAATATAGGACTATAATTTCACATCTCCACATTCTGTGGCAGTTATCCATCCAAGATAAATTCTCTGTAGAAACAAGCAAAAAAAAAAAAAAAAAAAAAAAAAAAAACCAACCAAACAAACAAAAAATCCTTTTATTTTGACCTATTGCAGAATGTGGAACTATCCCAGTATATATTCATTTCTCTATGTCAATCAATGTTATTGAAGTATTGAAGTCCTATAGTCAGTAAGCCTCATTTACTGTGGTTTAAACTCCTCCCTCTGCTCCTTATTTGCAACAACTCATAGTTAATTGAGCAGTTCTCTGTATTCTCCCAAGGAGAATATGAATTTTAAAATTATCCTATATAAAGACTCAATCAATTATGGTCCATCAGTATAAAGGTCTGATACTCTCTCCAAACACAAAAAGCAGTGATGTAGGCATTGTAGATATTTTAAAAGCCAAATTTTAAACCTTAAGTTTGATGATTTCCAAGTTTTCTTTTGTATGAGTATATTGTATGTTGATCTCATTCCCAACCATAGCCTCCTACCCTTCTTTTCCAAATCCCTCCCCTGCCTTTTAATCCTATTTGTCACCCCCCCCCCCAGTTTTACTTCTACTTTCCTGTCATATACACAGGTGTGGTTTTATTTCTCCACATAAAAGTTGAGACCCACCAATAAAAGAAACTCACATGCTTTGCCTTTCCCAGGACTGATTTGATTCACTTAATATAGTTATCTTTAGTCAAATCCATTTTTTTTTTTTTTGCAAATAGCCTAGTTCTGTTTCTTCTTTATAATTGTCAGAAGGAAGCCTTTTGTTGTGTGTACACTGTATACACTGCATTTTCTTTGTCTCTCCCTTTGCTAACAGACAACAAACTGTTTATGCCTGTTAAATGGAGCCTCTCTATTTCTAGAATCTGCCTGTTTGGATAATGTAAACATAGAGAATTTCATGATACCAGCCTGAGGTTCTTGAATGCAGTTGGGAAGCAATGTTTACGATTGTAAGCTGGGATGAGCTGGCTCCACTACACTCACATAAAAAGACACTGAAGACATATTTAGTGTAGGAAGTGATTTCTATCCAGTATCTGTAGTGTGATCCCTTTTTGACTGAATTAAAAAAAAGTGTGAGTCCCACTATATTTGTGACATATATATTTAAAAAGAACAACTTTTACTACATTAAAATTAAAAAGTAAATGACCAATATTACCTACATTGGAGCGGAAAAAAAAATGTGTGTCTGATGCATCAGTGTGACTGTTTAACCCATGCAGCAATCTATTAGCAATGCGATAAAGGATGTTTTCACATGTTCCTGGCACACTTTGATCTCACTAAAAGCAGCATTATTTGTAATCAATTTTTATTGTTTTTTATTGAAAATGGATTTTTTGATGGGGGGGATGACTCAGTGGTTGAGAGCACTAACTCCTCTTCCAGAGGTCCTGAGTTCAATTCCCAACAACCACATGGCGACTCACAACCAACTATAATGAGATCTGATGCCCTCTTCTAGCATGCAGACAGATGTGCAGAGTGCTCATACACAAAATATAAATGAATAGAATTCAAAAAATAGATTTTTTTATCACATAATATGCATGTCCTGTTTATAGTTTCACCTATCCTTATTCTCCCAGTTCTTCCTTACCTTCCTTCTCTTCCAGACTCGCCTCCTTTCTTACCTCTCATTAGAAAATAAGCAAGCTTCTAAGTGAATATAATATAGTATAGAACAGAGTAGACTATAGACAAGATAAAACAAAAACTATACAATGAAATAAGACAAAACAAATAAGGAAAAGAACCCAGGAATAGGCACAAGAAACAGAGTGAGAGACCTTGAAACCCTTGATCCTAAATGGGACATCTCCATCAAATCCCTCCCATCAGGGCTCAGTGAACTCTGCAAAAGAGGAATCAGAGAAAATCTAAGAGCCAGAGGGGATGGAGGACACCAAGGAAACAAAGCTTTCTAAACACAATAGTACCAATGCTCATACAAACTTACTGAAACGAAGGCATCATGCAAAGGGCCTACATGGGTCTGTACCAGAGAAGGTATTAGAGCTGAAAGAAGTTGACACAAACCCTCAGACCTAATCCACACACTATCTCTAATTGACAACTTACAAATGAAAATTTTTCTCCCAAGGGAGTCTCACTGGGGGTAAAAAACTACTCTTAAGGAAAGGCAGTATGCTCAGCAGTAGATGCCAACAGAAGACAAAAGTAATAGTATCTTTGGAGGTTCCTTGTCTCATAATGCCCTGTCATGGCTTTTAAATATTTTTATCTTATTTAAAATTTTTACTAC